ATTACTTGTGTTCAAGTGTATGGATCTCTCTGAAATTGTACTGCAAGGTACCATACCACAAAGGGAAGGCTGGGATTGATTTTGGGGGGTAATTCCCTCAAAATTTTAGGAATAAGGGGCCAAAAAGGGGAAAAAAACAAGCATTTTTCTAGTTTCAGGACAATAACTTGTGTTCAAGTGTATGGATCTCTCTGAAATTGTACTTCAAGGTACCATACCACAAAGGGAAGGCTGGGATTGAGTTTGGGGGTGATGAATCATAAGGGGTTTCAAAAAATTGGGGGGGGGGGGTTTCCTTTTTTTTCTTTTTTTCCTTTTTTTTTCTTTTAAAATTTTCCATTTTAAGTTGGTTATTTCTGATTTATATTTAAAAGCAAATAATAATGATATGGTAGGAGATACACACCAAACAGGATGTGTAAATTATTATATAATAAGTATTGTGCAATAGCAAGAAATTTTCAATTGCACAGTATTGCACAATAGCAAGAAATCTTTCATTGCACAGTATTGCGCAATAGCAAGAAATCTTCAATTGCACAGTATTGCGCAATAGCAAGAAATATCCAATAGCACAATATTGCCCAATAGCAAGAAATTGTCAATTGTACAGTATTGCGCAATAGCAAGAAATATTCAATTGCACAGTATTAATTGCTTATATCTTGACCAATTTCAATGGGGTTTTATTCTTGAATTCTTGGGGTTCTTTAATATGCTGAATCTAACCGTGTATTAAGTTTTTGGATTTTGGGCCCCGATTTTAAATTGGTCCACATTGAGGTCCAAAGGGTCCAAAATTAAACTTTGTTTGATTTCATCAAAAATTGAATTATTGGGGTTCTTTGATATGCCGAATCTAACCGTGTATTTAGATTCTTAATTTTTGGTTCTGTTTTCAAATTGGTCTACATTAAGGTCCAAAGGGTTCAAAATTAAACTTAGTTTGATTTTAACAAAAATTGAATTCTTAGGGTTCTTTGATATGCTGAATCTAAACATGTATTTAGATTTTTGATTATGGGCCCAGTTTTCAAGTTGGTCCAAATCGGGGTCCAAAATTAAACTTTGTTTGATTCAACAAAAATTGAATATATGGGGTTCTTTGATATGCTGAATCTAACCATGTATTTAGATTTTTGATTTTTGGGCCCCGTTATCAACTTTGTCCACATTGAGGTCAAAAGGGTCCTAAATTAAACTTTGTTTGATTTCATCAAAAATTGAATTCTTGGGGTTCTTTGATATGCCGAATCTAACCGTGTAGTTAGATTCTTAATTTTTGGTTCTGTTTTCAAATTGGTCTACATTAAGGTCCAAAGGGTTCAAAATTAAACTTAGTTTGATTTTAACAAAAATTGAATTCTTAGGGTTCTTTGATATGCTGAATCTAAACATGTATTTAGATTTTTTATTATGGGCTCAGTTTTCAAGTTGGTCCAAATTGGGGTCCAAAATTAAACTTTGTTTGATTTCAACAAAAATTGAATATATGGGGTTCTTTGATATGCTGAATCTAACCATGTATTTAGATTTTTGATTTTTGGGCCCCGTTATCAACTTTGTCCACATTGAGGTCAAAAGGGTCCTAAATTAAACTTTGTTTGATTTCATCAAAAATTGAATTCTTGGGGTTCTTTGATATGCTTAATCTAACCATGTATTTAGATTTTGGATATTGGACCATAATAGGTGAATGTCCAATTTAATAAAAAATTTTAAGTTCTTAGACCACATTCATTCTGTGTCAGTAACCTATTCTGTGTCAAATATTTAATCACAATCCAAATTCAGAGCTGTATCAAGCTTGAATGTTGTGTCCATACTTGCCCCAACTGTTCAGGGTTAGACCTCTGCGGTCGTATCAAGCTGCGCCCTGCGGAGCATTTTATTAGAATATAGCAAAGTGCTCTCGACCAATGAAATTGTAATAATAATACTTTATTTCCGTAAGGAAATACAGCTTATTGGATTTACACAATATAAATATCCAATAAATAATATACAGCATAATATAACATTTATACACAAATTATACAAATCAATGAAAGAATTAAGAGGAAGTATGACATATAAACTAAAAATAAGCAATTGAATAATTAACCATTACGTGCTTTTTCTGCAGAAAATAAATATTTTCCCAGGTTGTTTAGCTCTTTGACATTTCTTACAGATAACAGTTGCACTAATTTAAAAGTAGATGGTCTCTCATAGTAATAACTCTTTATATATTTCCATCTGATGTCGTTATATTTATCTCATTCTAAAATAAAATGGTACTCATCTTCAATCGCATTTTTATTACACATACTACACAAACGTTCATTTCTGGCTATACTATAGTATCTGCCTGTTTCTATACATAGTGCATGAGCATTTATTCTATATCTAGTAATATAAGATCTATACAAACTGTTTAATGGACGACTAAGGTAAAATTGCATAGTGTGGCCATCGTGTGAATACTGATACAAAGTACATTTCGGCGAATTTTCAAAATGTGATACACCTTCAGATATATAATTATCTATAACTCTTTGTTTAAATTCACTCACTGTAGGATTTGGTGTTTCTTAATTGTGAAGAATGAATGAAATCATGTTCTTAGTAAGGGATTATCCTATTGTTTAGGCCTACTTACAGTTCAAAACAAAGAGTTTCTATAAATGAGTTACAAATGCCCCGAAGCAAATTTATCAGCTTGAAAGAATTTGTGATTAAAACTGACTAAAAGTTAAATTTCGAAACGAAACAAAAAAATCAAAATAAGATAAAGTTTTCTGGTGTAGTAACATTGGTACTGTTAACGTTATAATGAGAATATTGAAAACTTCAAATTACTAAAAAAAAATAAACAATATCAAAGCAATTCTAAAAAAAAAAAAAAGGTTTTTAAATTGAATAAAACCTAAATCTTTAGCTTATACTCTATCAAAACTTACTGGATCCGCAGTTGGTGAGAATAGTAATTTCCAATATTCTGATAAAATTCTAAAAAAAGGAATTAAGTTTAACTTTTGAATATATTTTAAACTTTAAAAGGTGTTGTATTTGAACATTTCCCTGACATAATGAAGTAGTATTTGGTGTAAAGGACTGGACTAAAATATTGGCTGTAAAATAAAATTTAGTTGTAACTCAAATTTTGAATTTATTGATTTGAACTGGAAATAAACAAAAAGATAATTCCTCACTAAAATACTACATGATTTATATCAGGAAACATTTGTTACCATTTCATTGTACTGTTGTGTCATCTAATGTCTAAAACACAATCTATTATATTTTCCAAAATTATAAGAAAGTCCTTACATCACTAAAACTAATCCATAAATGAAATGCTAAAAAGAAAGTCATGCATTAATTACAAACATTGCACTGACAATGAAACTAATTCTTAAATACAACCAATCAAGAGATCATTTGAGCCCTGAGCACTTTACAATATTCTAAGTTTGTAAGAGAATGATAATCCCTTTCTTCATGATAAGTACTCGCTAACGCTCGTACTTAATCATGAAGTAAGGGATTATCATTCTCTTACATATACAAGTGTAATTTCATGGACAATGAAAATCTAATTTGTATGTTATCTTCAGAACACTGCTCATTTACAAGCCCCCAAGGGGCAATTTTTGAAGGCCTTGAGCAAATTTACTTATGATCTTTGCCCAATTAGTTTCTTTGTTGAATTAATGAGATGAAACATTGAACTCTAATAAAAAATTATGAGCTAACCAGAGAAAAATGTTAAAGGCATGTTTTTACATCTCAAAACTTGAGAATATTAGGGATTGTAAAATAAAATTACTTATACAAGTAAATTTTTGAGAAAATTAAGGGGAGATTATTCAACCTTAAAGAAAAAATGGACATAACAAAATTTGCTTATATAAGTATATTATTATTTACTTCTTCAAGTAAATAAAGATAACTTGCACAAGTAGTACCCCTGACTGATGTTCATTTTGTTCAACCGCTAGCTTTATGCTGAAAATCTTTAACAAGTAATGTGTTAATCCGAGTAAAAACATATCTGACTAATAAAACAACATCGACAAACAATGGCTGTCATAAACCAAAAATGTAGACAATTACAATACCGGATCAGATTCCGGGAGCGGATAAGGGTAATTCCAAGTTTGCCGATCAAAAACAATTAAAAAAAAAAAAATTCCAGGCAGGTGACAAAATACAGCTATGAAATATAAAAACTAGAATTGAAAAACAAAAGATATATGAAAAAGAAAAAAGAAATAGATAACATTTTAAACAGAAACTCAAAATGTTTAGTTCACAAATTTTCATGTCAAAATCAAATAAAATTTTGAAGGGCCAGTAAAAATCTGGAAAAGCAAGTGAATTTAAAAAAGTGTTAGCCTGCTTGGCCAGTTAAAATACATCTTATTTCTATCACCGACTGCTTGGCCAGTTAAAATACATCTTATTTCTATCACCAAATTATTTATTATATTAACCATGTTAATTGTTACTGTCTTTGAAGATAAATAAAGGCGGTAAATTTTTATCACATGTGTGCTTTAAGAACAACTATATTTTGATACTAAAATAAACGAGTGCCTTGTTGTTAAGTTTAAAAACAAAAAGGACAAAAAATAGAATTATAAATAGCAATCACGTAGTTTTTTACCTTATTTTCACCAAAAAAGATAATTTTTAGTGAACTAAACAAACTAAAACTCACATCTGGTATATTTGTTGTTTTCCCAATTTCATTGAAAATCACGTAAAAAAATTCCCAAAACTGGCCAGGGTCCTTTTTCCAAAAATACCCAGAAAAAACCCTGAAAACTGACCTCCATGAAATAGCAAAAAGTGCTGAAAGTTGTGCTAAACACCAACAAATCAATCAATCAATCTGAATGTTCCCAAGTCATTAAGTTGTGAATAACTGATGTTTACATGTATATTAAATTAAATGGTCTGTAAATGAATATGCTCTTTTTACACTGTTAATTTTTTCTCTTTTTTATTTTCAGTAAATTTGGATCATGGCCTTACCAAGATGTTGTGTTAATACAACCTTTAAGAGGTTGGCATGGTCACAGAGGAGAAACTTAGTTGTAAATAAAACAAAGTTCATTTCCTGTTCAATAAACAATAAGAACTCTAATGGGTGCAGATGTGAAGGACTTCAGGTAGCATCACTTATGAAGCAAGAAGGTCAAGAACTTAAAGAAATGCCTATTTTAGTCAGAGTTAAGATGGACAGCATATTACCTCAGCAATCCTTTACACACAGTTCTAAAAATGGTGTAACATTAGAACTTTCAGACCAAGATAAAACAATTATAGCACAACTTGAAGACTGTAAAACTGTTAATGAGATTGTTAAGAAAGTAGAAATTCCATCCGTAGGATTTACAAGCATTTCAGCATTGTTGATTCTCCAGAAAATATTGCTCTTGAAAGAGACACAAAAGAATATCACTCGCTTTGAATCACATTTTCAAGATGATTTCATGAATGAATTATACAAAACAATTAACATAAGTATCTCTTCATATAGTAATACAATATTAATTTCACTTGTGAATGGATATTGTAAATCAAAATCCTTTCAATTCAAATGTACAGAAAGCATTAGTGAAGAAATTGAACAACGACTTTGGGACAGTAACTTTTCAGTATCAGAGTTATGTACCTTGAGTCATATTCTTGTTGGCCATGACAATCAGTTACATCGTCTCCTACAATTAATTTGGGTTCACATGTGTCATAGGGATGAAGAAATTGATGAAAAAAATTTATCACCTGTATTCCTGTCAGTTCCAAATATTCCTTTATGTGCCAAGAAAAATGTGTTTGAAATTCTGTGGAAGAAGTTCAACAGAGTTTGGTGGGAAATTCCAGGAACAGATCTTTCATTAATTGTGTCAGCATTGAAGTTACATAATGTAAAGAGCTGGACCTTTTATGATCTAATCAGCAAATGGTTACTTGTTAATATAAATGACATGACAGCAGTTGACCTCATCAAAGTTACTGAGGGATATTTAACTTTAATGACACATTGTGATGTTTTTGTGCGGGCCCTTGAATTATATGTAAAAACACACAGCTCAAACATTAACATAGATTTACTTGCTACTATCATGAAATATCAACACGTGATGAATTACTGCTCCCCCAAAATTCTTGACTGTGTAGCAAACAATTTTGAAAAATATGGACATTCTTGTGACCCAGCTCAGTTGTACCATATCCTTGTGCCATTTGGACATTTTAACTACAAACCAGAGCAATTAGATGATATGTTCCTTGTCGCTGAAGAAATCATACAGAGAGATTTTGACAAGTTTGAACCTGTACATATCACTGAACTACTGGCTAGTTTTGTTTACCTTGATCGATTGCCTTTGAACTTTGCCTCACAAGTTCTGTCTCTTTCATTTTGGAGGAAATGCAAAGGTACAATGTACAAACAAATATTTTCATGTAGAGCACTGAGTGCTCTTTAGAAAATAAAAATGGTTCTTTACTTTTCAGAACTGTACATGACTTCTGAACTTTAATTTGTTTAATTTTGTATTTGCACTTGTGCATAATTACATTTTACATATAATATGAGTTATCTTTTGACTGACAATTTAGTAATTATAATTGCCTTTGAACTTTAAAATTTTATGAAAATGTCAGTTTTCACAACCTTTATCAGTCTGCCTTACAAATACATGTATACAGCTGATCCTTTGTCTGTCTGTCCCTTATCAGGTTAAAGTTACTGGTCATGGTCGTTTTCCATAAAGTTGTTCATGTTGTGATCACATCAACTTTAACTTCGTACACATTTTCTTTATGATTTGAACTTTGTTGATTATTTGTCAAATTAAGGTTTTGACCCTGATTTCACAGTACTCTGAACCTAGAAATATAGTGTGAGAAGGCCATGATGTCATATGGACACACATTCTTGTTTTTAATGTGATTTCATGTTACAGAGACCTGTACACAATCAAGTCTTGAAAGGATTTCAGTATGGATGTCAACCATCAAATATGCTGTAAAAGATACTGGTGCTTTACAGAGAAGACTACAAACTGTCAGACATGCTTTCTATGAAATGAGAAATATATCAAGTAAGTGGAAGTCAAGGGATCATGCTTTCTATGAAATGAGAAATATATCAAGTAAGTGCAAGTGAATGGATCATTCTTTTGTACACCTGAACATTGTTTTGATTGTTTTACATGTACATAATTTCGTTCATTAGTTTAAAAGAAAGATATTTATATAAATCAGTTTCTTTTTTACTTTAATTTCATCATTAAGTGTACATGTACATTTACAAAAATGTATAGTCAGATATTTGAAAAATTCCCCATATGATTAATGTATTGTAAAAGAAACAAGATTTGTAAAAGAAATTTTAAGACTTTTTCCGGTCATTCTTTGCTAAACCTAAATTTAAAAGTAGTATTGTAACTATCTTTCTAAAAAAATATTAAAAACTTCCATCATTTATGAAGAAATTACAACAGTTCATGAAGTTATAAGAGGATTTGCTCTTGATGCTTACATTATTGATCTCTATTATAATATATATATATGCTAAATTCAACAGCTACACAAAATTTCAAGAATGGTATGAAATAAAAAAAAAATGGTTTCCCATCCTCATGACCCTCTCATATTCTCACATAGTTATATGAAATTTTGGAATACACAGTCTTAAACTTCAATATACTCTAAAGTTTGAAATCAATTATTGCTGGTGCTTTTCAGAAACTGAGTAACAGTAATGAGAGAAAAATCCCAAAATTATTCATTTATTCATCAGATGTTTATTGGTGAAGATTTGAACTTGTGTTATCTTTTTAAATTTTAGTTCATTTGTATGTTTTGGAGTTTAGTGTGACGTCCATTTTCATTGAACTAGTACACATTTTTTTATAGGTGAAGCCCCCCTCCTGGTGCGGGATTTTCTTGCTGTATTGAAGACCCATTGGTGGCCTTCAGTTGTTTTCTGCTCTTTGGTCGGATTGTTGTCTCTTTGACAAATTCCCCATTTCCATTATCAATTTTATTGATATGCCAAAATATTGTTCAAAAATACTTGTAGGTGTTGAGTTTTATTTCCTGATTACTGTCATTCTTCAATACTATAACAGTAAGAAGATGTGGTATGATTTCCAATGAGGCAACTCTCCACCAGAGACCAAATGATGTAGATGTTAAAATTTTATAACTAGTATACATAGTCTTGTAAGAATTTTTCAAGATATACCTGTTTATTTTGGAATTATTGAGGGATTATTTATATCTTCAAGTCATTGATTCCTGAAAGTGACAAACCTATAAACCCACTTGAAGCACATCAGGCACCTGCTTGATTATCAATACATGTACCAGAAAAAGGTTTATATAATCAAGGCATTTTAATGAATGATTTAATGGAAGACCAATTATATAATTACTGTAACTGAATATTTTATCTAAGGTTCTTTAAAGGTTAACAAAGAAATTGTTTCTACTGAACTATTGACCAGTGGACTTTATCTAAAAGGACAATTGATATTTATTTAATCCAATTGAAAAACAACTTTCAAATTCTCAACTTTTCTGTCGGTTTTTTTATTTGTAGGAAAAAATATTGAGATTTCAAAGAACCATGAAAGATATTTCATGCTAAACATTTTAGCTGAGCTTGAGCGAAGGTCTTGTGTAGTGGATTTGAAATATGCATTTTGGAACGATACTTTCTTCAACTTTGGTAAGATATCCAACATCTGAAATAGTTCTACTTAATTAGGTAAAGTAATCTTTTTATTCACTGTTATCACAAATCACAGAATTTAAGGATGTTAATATAAAAAATAACCTAAATAGCTCAAGAAAATATAAATTCTTCGCACTGGACGTTAAGCAACCAACAATCAATCAATCAATTATAAATTCTTCATTCTCTTCCAATTCGTACCTGAGGACATATAGTAATCATGGTTATAGTCTTTTTTTTATCCATCCATCTATACTCACTACAATTCTCAAACCCTTGACTGGTTAGCTGTATTACATTTTAGGATTGTTTTCCATCATTTGAAGTTGACCTACACTACATTTCTAATTTTCAATAACTGCACGAGTTATAGGACTTGAACTACTATTAGCCTAGATAGAAACTCCTTTCTGACATCAGACCATGTGGGAAGTTTTCATAATTAGGGAAACTGTTTGTCATCTCTATAAGACTATTTTGACAGTTTTGCTTGATTTATTGAACTTACACCTATTTTGGCCAATTGTTTTGACATTTGAGATCTTCTGTATTCCTCTTACCCCTTGAAATTGTCTGACAATTTGATTACCACTCTGACAGTAACTTCAAATAAAACAAGTATTTTGCCAAAATTTTTAACTGTGATTCTTAAATACTCAACAGAATGAATTTTCATGTAAATGGCAGCAGTTAGACGGATAAGTTAAAAAGCTTCTCTCTGGGAGGGTAAAGAAATGAGATTATCTGTAGTCTACTCCTGAAGCTATTACATGTATTATTATCAGTGGGGACATCAGGGAATAAAGCTACTTTATTTTGTAATACGATTTATCTTTATCTACTGATTTCACAATCAAGGCATTTTTAATTTTACAAGAATAGTGTATATCTGTTTATTTAGAATTGACTTTGTTTTTCAGGTGCCCTTATATTTATTGACCAGGATAACAAGGTTGTCACTTTACATGATCTGATACATTATAATCACAGGTAAAAGTAGAACTATTGATATATGTTTACTTTTTGTTATAACCTACCAGATAATACCATCAAAATGATTGAATTGTTGTCCATTTTCATCTGTCAGGAAGAAAGAAGATGCAGGTTATATGCACAGCAACTAAACAACACAATTTTACTAATTTTTAGTCAATATGAAAAAAAATCTGGAAAGCATGGATGTATTAAAAATGTTTGGAATAAATATATGTAAAAAAATAAAGAAAATAATAAATTTAGATACAGTCAACTGAATTTATATGTATTTCAGGAAATGGTTCAGTGAGATAAATGAGAAAGTCAATACCAATAATATTGAGGACAGTACCAACAAGATGCTTGAAAAAGAGAAAGAATCATCTCATTCTCCTGTTGTGGCAAATTTATCTGCTGGTAATGTTAACACAAGATATTTTTCTATTAAAATGTCTATTTATTATGATTTTATGTCTACTAGACTTGTCACGAAATATAAGTTCCTTCATAATAAAAGTTCCAAATGGAAAAAATATTCTGTAATATTATTTCCACTGGAACAAATGTTACAGTATTTGTTCCTAACAGAATAAAGGGTATAGAATATTTGTTCCAACAGGAACAGATATAATTGGATTGTTTATAACAAAGTTTCCAGGGGAAATTCTGTTAGGCAGAACAAATATACGTTGACAGACGGTGTTACAACTTTCTCAGTTTTACACACAGAACAAATATATGTTGACAGACGGTGTTACAACTTTCTCAGTTTTTACACACAGGGGTTGTTCTGTTCTTCACCAAGGTCCCAAAATAGATTTTATAATATAACTTGCGACAGATTTTATAATATATCTTGCGACAGATTTTCATGTCTTCAGACATTACTTGCACAGATATAAGATTATCATCATACAGTATTTGAAACATTTGCAACATGGATCAAAAACTGACATGCATACAAAAGTAACAATAAGCAACGGAAATCTAAATTTTTTATTAATCTCTCCTATTTCTTTAAACAATTTAGATGTCGTTAACAGTCCTTAATGGCTCAATAAACACATTGTCAGATTATTGCTCAAAGTGTAGACAGGTCAGATGTCTCTTAAACTCTAGGCACATTAAACATGTTCAACATAATAACTGTTACAATTCACAAGAAGTGATAGTTTATAATGTTTTCTTTCAAAAATGAAATTAATAGTGTTGCAGTTTCTTCAGGTTAAAAGGTAGCACTTTTGGTGTCAATACCATTAAAGTTTGGGAAAGCTTTTCAAATTATCCTGATGATGAGTGGGAAAGGTTAAATAAAATACTGATTTATTTGTAATTGATCAAATATACATGAACTGTCTTCAAATTATGAAACAATAAACCATTATGCATGTCTGAAAAAAAAAGGATTCCATGGTGCTTATGTTGAGGACTGGCAACTGCCCATTTTTCTGGAGACAACTTTTTGTTGTCATCTCAGGTCTTGACACTGTTGCTATATAATTTGAATACCAATACAACATACTGGTACTCTAAACCAAATGTGAATTAGTATTAATACTTCTTGATCACTTATAAGATGTTGGATTTCCTGTAAAAATAATTATATGCCAACCATAATGTTATGGACATGATGGAAAGGAGAGGCTTTTTTTTTTTTTATTTTTTTCTCATTTTCTCAGTTATTTTAATAGAGATACACTTCTTGTAGCATTGACTTTAAACAATACTTGTGTTGATTGTTTCAGAAGAATTTTATTTCTGAAAAATAACATGTATTTTTTCAGATAAGAAAACAGAAAAATGGATAAGTACATATGGTGACATGAGTAATGAAAAAGAGACTGTCAGTGATGATAAATATGCCAACTTTTTGCCAAATATGGAGGGACAGTATGCTCTCTGTTATCCAAGATTCAAGGAAAGAAAAGATGTGACATTGGAGGTATATCTTACAGAAAACATTGCCAAATATCTAAACTCTGCTCGTTGATGTTATATCTATTGCAAAATCAGACACCACAAATGTGTACTATGTCATTTTGATATAGCTAGAATGTTTAACATTATTTGATGTTTTTTTTTTACAAATTCCAACTTGTTTCCCATGATCCACATTAACAATACATATATAAGATTAAACCCCTGTAAAAATCTTTGTACTTGCAGAGTTTACAAGCAAAATTTGGTGTTTTTCCTGGACTGTCTGAAGTACGCATTATTCCAAAGTAAGTTTGTAAATTATATTTCCTATATTTGTATTCATAATCTGTGGCAAATGACATCCCACTTCTTAATATAATGCCATTTTAGCTATTGTCATCCCTTATGTTGTAGCTTTCCTTTGTAAACAAAAACCATTAATACATGTAATATGCACCAAATTTATGTCACCAAACATAGCCAGAAAAAGAAAACATAATTAGGACCCCGCCGAATGGCGGGTTGCCCTATAGTGATCAGTCTATCCGTTCATCTGTCCGTCCGTAACAAATTGTATCTGCTCTATATCTTGAGAACCGTTATGATTCCAAAGTTTATACTTGACATGTATATTAACCAACACCAGAGGGTGTGTCATAATGTATGTACAACTTCCTAGGTCAAAGGTCAAGGTCAAAAACTTTGGTTTCGGTTGACAACCCCATGTCCTATGGTAAAGATCGTGTCCGCTCTATATCTTGAGAACCGTTATGATTTCAAAGTTTATACTTAACATGTATATTAACCAATACTAGAGGGTGTGTCTTAATGTATGTACAACTTCCTAGGTCAAAAACTTTGGTTTTCAGTTGACAACCCCATGTCCTATGGTAAAGATCGTGTCCGCTCTATATCTTAGAGAACCCTTATGATTTCAAAGTTTATACTTGACATGTATATTAACCGACACCAGAGGGTGTGTCATAATGTATGTACAACTTCCTAGGTCAAAAGTCAAGGTCAAAAACTTATGTTTCAGATGACAACCCCATGTCCTATGGTAAAGATACAAATTTTTTACCACACGTTATTCACAGCAGGGCCCACAGAGATGGCTCCCATTTCAATTATGTCTAGTTGTTATAAGAAAAAAGGAAAGCACTGTAAAGGGTTAATTGCTGTCAAACTTTAAAAAAATGATACTTTTGTAAAAAAATAACTTTTGTTATTATATATACTTCACTGATGATTATTTCTCTTAGGATAGACAGTTTAACATTTTTCCAGATATCACATAATGTTGCAGTAATGTATAATTACACATGTCTTAAACAATCAATGTGTAATATCAGCTTGTTTTTGTCTTCAAGTTTGATTTTTGTGAGATATTCAATCAAAGATAGTGGTGTACAGTGTCTGGAAAAATATTCAAAAGGTTTGATGATGAGAGTTGCTGAAGAAAGGATGAAGAAAGGTTCTGGAGAAGACCAGGATTATGACCTTATATTGAAGCAAACAACCAGTGGCAAGTAACATTTCAAAATTGAACTTCCTGAACGTACCTTTGAAATGGGTAGTTAGATCAATTAAGTTGTGTCCTTCTTAAGCTGATAAGTAATTGCCTTTCATTGAACTACAAATTCTTTTAAAAATTTCCTTAAGGAACAAGAATGAAAACTTCTTATTTAATTAGCTAACTTTTATGACTGAGATATTGCCATCACTAGATAAAAAGTGTTTTTTTGATCTATTGTCATCTCTTGAATTCATTAGAAATTCATATTTTTATCATCTCCTCTAAAACTACTTGGAAGAAGACAACCAAACTCTTATTTTCTAACCAGATCATAAAATGGCTAACCAGGATGATTCTTGAGTATAACATGGTCAATTTCAGATTGCAGCATACATTAAGATGTCCATGATCTTCAGGATTATCGCTTCAACAATCCATATTTTACAAATCAATAATTGAAATAATTTAGCTTCTGCATTGATTTGATTGAAAGAACTGAATCATCTCCCCTGGTTTACTTGGTTTAGGCAGTTATAAACTAATATTTTTAAAATTGTAAGTGATATATTTTTTATACGACCGCAAAAAAGTTTTTGTGGTCGTATATTGGTATGACGTTGGCGTCGTCGTCGTCGTCGTCCGGTGTCGTCGTCGTCGTCGCCGGTGTCGTCGTCGTCGTCGTCCGGCGTCGTCCGAGGACACATTGGTTTTCGCACTCTAACTTTAGTTTAAGTGACTGGATCCTTATGAAATTTTACCACAAGGTTCAATACCACAAAAGGAAGGTTGGGATTGATTTTGGGGGTTATGGTAATAACAGTAAAGGAATTAGGGGCCAAAAAGGGGCCAAAAATAAGCATTTTTGTAACTTCCAGACATAACTTGTGTGTTAGTGTATGGATCTCTCTGACATTGTACCACAAGGTTCCATATCACTAAAGGAATGCTGGGATTGATTTTGGGGGTAATTGCCTCCAAATTTTAGGAATTAGGGGCCAAAAAAGGGGCAAAAAACAAGCATTTTTCTAGTTTCATGACAATAACTTGTGTGTAAGTGTATGGATCTTTCTGAAATTGTACTACAAGGTTCCATATCACAAAGGGAAAGCTGGGTTTGAGTTTGGGGGTAATTGCCCTAAACATTTAGGAATTTGGGGCCAAAAAGGGTTCAAAAAACACATTTTTTTCTAGTTTCCAGACAATAACTTGTGTTCAAGTGTATGGATCTCTCTGAAATTGTACTGCAAGGTACCATACCACAAAGGGAAGGCTGGGATTGAGTTTGGGGGTGATGAATCATAATGGGGGTTCAAAAAATTTTGGGGGGGGATTTATGTTTTTTTTCCTTTTTTTTCTTTTTTTCCTTTTTTGTTTCTTTTAAAATTTTCCATTTTAAGTTGGTTATTTCTGATTTATATTTAAAATCAAATAATAATGATATGGTAGGAGATACACACCAAACAGGATGTGTAAATTATTATATAATAAGTATTGTGCAATAGCAAGAAATTTTCAATTGCACAGTATTGCACAATAGCAAGAAATCTTCAATTGCACAGTATTGCGCAATAGCAAGAAATCTTCAATTGCACAGTATTGCGCAATAGCAAGAAATATCCAATAGCACAATATTGCGCAATAGCAAGAAATTGTCAATTGTACAGTATTGCGCAATAGCAAGAAATATTTAATAGCACAGGATTGTGCAAAAGAAGATACTTCCTATAAATTGCTTATTTCTTGACCAATTTCAATGGGGTTTTATTCTTGATTTCATGGGGTTCTTTAATATGCTGAATCTAACCGTGTATTTAGTTTTTGGATTTTGGGCCCCGTTTTTAAATTGGTCCACATTGAGGTCCAAAGGGTCCAAAATTAAACTTTGTTTGATTTCATCAAAAATTGAATTATTGGGGTTCTTTGATATGCCGAATCTAACTGTGTATTTAGATTCTTAAATTTTGGTTCCGTTTTCAAATTGGTCTACATTAAGGTCCAAAGGGTCCAAAATTAAACTTAGTTTGATTTTAACAAAAATTGAATTCTTAGGGTTCTTTGATATGCTGAATCTAAACATGTATTTAGATTTTTGATTATGGGCCCAGTTTTCAAGTTGGTCCAAATCGGGGTCCAAAATTAAACTTTGTTTGATTTCAACAAAAATTGAATATATGGGGTTCTTTGATATGCTGAATCTAACCATGTATTTAGATTTTTGATTTTTGGGCCCCGTTATCAACTTTGTCCACATTGAGGTCAAAAGGGTTCAAAATTAAACTTTGTTTGATTTCATCAAAAATTGAATTATTGGGGTTCTTTGATATGCCGAATCTAACCGTGTATTTAGATTCTTAATTTTTGGTTCCGTTTTCAAATTGGTCTCCATTAAGGTCCAAAGGGTCCAAAATTAAACTTAGTTTGATTTTAACAAAAATTGAATTCTTAGGGTTCTTTGATATGCTGAATCTAAACATGTATTTAGATTTTTGATTATGGGCCCAGTTTTCAAGTTGGTCCAAATCGGGGTCCAAAATTAAACTTTGTTTGATTTCAACAAAAATTGAATATATGGGGTTCTTTGATATGCTGAATCTAACCATGTATTTAGATTTTTGATTTTTGGGCCCCGTTATCAACTTTGTCCACATTGAGGTCAAAAGGGTCCAAAATTAAACTTTGTTTGATTTCATCAAAAATTGAATTCTTGGGGTTCTTTGATATGCTGAATCTAACCATGTATTTAGATTTTGGATATTGGACCATAATAGGTGAATGTCCAATTTAAAATTTTTAAGTTCTTAGACCACATTCAATCTGTGTTAGAAACCTATGCTGTGTCAAATATTTAATCACAATCCAAATCCAAAGCTGTATCAAGCTTGAATGTTGTGTCCATACTTCCCCCAACTGTTCAGGGTTCGACCTCTGCGGTCGTATCAAGCTGCGCCCTGCGGAGCATTTTATTAACCTTTAAATTTGAAATTTTAGATAACTCAGTTAGTGACAGTGAAGGAAGTTCAAACATAGATGTGCCAGAGGTAAGGTGAAAGATAAAATAAAATTCAATTGTAAGTGATAATGTCCATCAATATCTTATTGACACAAGAAACACAAGCATAACATTATAGTAAAGAGGTATACTCTATATATAGTCATGTAGGTCATATTTCTTTACTAGTGGTGAACATTCTGTACAATGTAGAAGACATCAAAACATTGAGTGAAACATATTTGGTTTGACATTTTTCAAAAGAGGTCAGTTTTTAGAAATAATGATATGGATATACAGAATGGAAGGTTTGATGATATGAATATTTGAAGAAAAAAATTGTCACACATTGAGCATCCTCTGATACAGCGACTCTTTTCACAAAAAATCTTAAGAGTAAAAATACTCGTAAGTCACACATTTCAGTATAACTTACGATAAATTTTAGTCGTAAGATTTGTTGTGAAAAGAGTCGCAGATACATGAATATACTCCAAATGTCAGTGCTTCTCAAATCATATGAGTGCGGGTGCACTCGACTCCAGTCTTAATTGACTAGGATTGTCAGTTTTCCTATCGAAGGTCGGTGGTTTTCTCCGGGCACTCCGGCTTCCTCCACCAATAAAAACTGGCCGCCACGAAATAGCCCAAAAGCGGTGCTTAAAAGTGGCGTTAAAACACCAAAAATCAAATCAAATCAAATCATATGACATATTAAGTCAAAGTTGTATGCAGATGAAGGTAGATGTATAAACATATATAATTGGAACAGATGTATCCTAAGAAATTTCATAAGCTGTGTATTGTATAAATATAAAAATAAGGAGATGTGGTATGATTGCCAATGAGACAACTATCCACCAAAGTTCAAATGAAGTGGATGTAAGCAATTATAGGCAACTATACAGCCTTCAACAATGAGGTAAACCCATACCATAAAGGATAAATTTAATTTTTGAATTGTTGTTTTAATAGAATATTTTAAACTCTGAAAGCTAGTAAATGGAAAGAATGATAGTTAATATTTAAATTTTATTTTTAAAATAAACTAGAAACAGTATTTTTACATTTGTATGTTCACATAGCTGTTTGTTTTGACAGGACTTTAAAGGTGTAATTGGAGGCAATACTTTCATGATTTATGATTTTTTTTATCAAACTATTGTGAATTATTTGTCTATATTCAAATTAATTATCATTTACAGAGTTCTGTCGTTAATAATTACAAGAAATTCATTTTATAATTTAAGAGTTGTTCAGTGAATACTTACAAAATCTTTATGTATACATGTACATATAAAGTATCTTTCATTTCAGGTATTAGAAAAGTTGACAAGAATGATATCAGAATGTCAAAAGGTTGGTGTTCTTGGTTATTCTGGCATAGGTTTATTAAAGTACTGATGTGTTAAAGGGGATATTTAATTGTCAAATCCAAATATGTTTTAACTTTGTATGCCATGTGCTGCATTGTGTATTATAGTATATTGTAAATAAATCATAATTCTGTATATTGAATATATACTTATATCCTAGTTATGAATATCATAATTGTTTATAAGGAAGTAGTGACAGTATTCACATTAAAAATTTGTAATCCTTTGATAGATAGATACCTGACTCTTTATGACTGCTTTTCAGGATGAAACACAACTTTTAGAAGTCACATGAGTATTATTATATATCCCTCCAAATATTTTGAAACTACAAAAAATAATTTTTGTTTGTTTTCAGGATATTTTCATTGTTGTTGACACAGGCATGTTGATTACAGATCTAGATTTAGTGCAAGGTCTAACTGGTAAGGAATCTCTATGATACATTTGTTATTCTGAAAATATTCATATTTATGCCTCGTTATTTGTATGTTTGAACAGCAGAAGCAACTCATTTTCCATGAAAAATTACAGCACTATTCAATAAATGGTGTGTTGATAATGGTAAAAAAACTGATTGAATTTTGTGATAAATAAAAAAAAGAAATTCAAAATTTTCCAACCTTTCTACAAAATATCTTGGTGAGCTGGATGCAAATTTATATGCTAAGCCCAATGGTTCTTATTTTAGCAATGAATATATATTTTCAGCACATGGTAAACCTGCTTTAGTATTTCCATGGGTTGTGATGCAAGAATTGGATTTTTTGAAAAAGGGAAAGACATCAATATCCTCTAATGTAAGTTTCCCCATAAATGATAATTTAGGAAAAATAGTATTAAATTTAATCATTTATATTGCAATGGAAAAATTCTTCATAACTTTGAAAGTTACTGTTAAAATTAATGCATGTTGATTGAAAAAAAATAATATTTCTATTGTTTCAATGATGAAACCGATTAAAGGACGTACATAAGATACTGTAACTTAGAAACATGTCTTCATATATATTAAGTAGTAAGTGGACACAAATTCCAATACACTTTTCTGGTTTAAATAAAACCTATGATGGATGCAAAGCATTGTTGTGCATAAAAATAAGAAAATATGGTTTGATTGCCAATGACACAACTATCCACCAGAGACCAAATGGCATTATAGATGTAAGCAACTGCCAAGTACAGCCTTCAACAATGAGCTTAGTTCATTCCGTATAGTAAGTTTATTTTGTCATAATCACTATAGCTACGGCCCTTTATGACATAAGGACAACACACTATAAATAGAGCTTATGAACGCCAATTCTCCAACAGTTTACTTCAGATTTGAAATATGATATAATGTAATACAATATCAAAATCATATCAAAATAAACATTAAAGTAGTACATTGTATCTATATTAGTAAGTCTTATATCTTAATGAATTAGCATAAAAAAGTAGTCATGGTTACCAGTATGTGATTGTGTAACACAAATGTGCTGTAAAAACAAACAAAGGAATTATCTTAACTATATTGGAATAAGAATAATTTTTACATCACAATTGCAAAATATGTTCTACTATATGAATTTTAAAGAGCATTATAAAAACAACCACTTTGTTTTTAGACTATTGAAACAGCCAAGAAAGCAAGATCTGCAGTTCAGTATTTATACCAATGTTTCCAATCTAGTCACCCACGTGTTGTTGGACAAACACCTGCACAGGTAGGGACACAAAGTCACAGTTAGTGCTGTAAACTAAACTTTCAAAGAAGTGCAGTTCATAGGTTAAGCATTGTTTTATATAAGGTAACCAGCTCAGAAATGAAATATGAGCTATTTTCATCATCTATGATCAACAGTTTGTATGACAATAACTTGTGTGTAAGTGTATGGATCTTTCTGAAATTGTACTACAAGGTTCCATATCACAAAGGGAAAGCTGGAATTGAGTTTGGGGGTAATTGCCCAAAACGTTTCGGAATAAGGGGCCAAAAAGGGGCTAAAAATAAGCATTTTTCTAGTTTCCAGACAATAACTTGTGTTCAAGTGTATGGATCTCTCTGAAATTGTACTGCAAGGTACAATACCACAAAGGGAAGGCTTGGATTGATTTTGGGGGTAATTGCCTCAAAATATTTTGAATTAGGGGCCAAAAAGGGGCAAAAGACAAGCATTTTTCTAGTTTCAGGACTATAACTTGTGTGTAAGTGTATGGATCTTTATGAAATTGTACTACAAAGTTCCATATCACAAAGGGAAAGCTGGGTTTGAGTTTGGTGGTAATTGCCCTAAACATTTAGGAATTTGGGCAGAGTTCGCGAAAACTTATTTTGACATGTCGGTCTTGGGACCAACAAAGCATGATTATTTGTCAGTCCTACAAAATTTTAGCCAGTCCTACAAAATCTGTCAATTTTATCCTGAAATAAAATTGATAACATATTTTATCGAAAAATAACTTTATTAATATTTGTTTTATTCTTTGCACCCACAGGCAAATTAACAATGAAGGACCAGTTCAGGTCTTCTGATTGTTCTTATTTAAAGTCATCTTCACTATCCATTTCATTATCTGAATCACTTTCTCGGCTGTTACAGTATTTGTTTGCTCCATAATTTTTGTAGGGTTCAATCGCCGATTGTTTGCCAGGGATGGCTCTATGAACAAATTTAGTAGGCCACGTGTAGATCCCCGCTTTGGTTTGTTTATAATAAATCCGTAAACCAGTACCAGAAATTGGCAGCGGGGACATCTAATAACCGATGTAAACATTTATTGGAAACAGTTGCGGTACATCTAATAACCGATGTAAAAAAGTGCCGAAATATGCACTACAACGGCCGTTTTTACATGGGTCATCGGGACGGCACTAGCCTTCAAAATACTGGTCCGAGCCTCATTTTAACCAACAGGACCGACAGGACCGACCATTTTCGCGAACTCTGATTTGGGGCCAAAAAACATGCATTTTTAGTTTCCAGACAATAACTTGTGTTCAAGTGTTTGGATCTCTCTGAAATTGTACTGCAAGGTACCATACTACAAAGGGAAGGCTGGGATTGAGTTTGGGGGTGATGAATCATAAGGGGGTTCAAAAAATTGAGGGGGGGATTTTTTTTTCCTTTTTTCCCCTTTTTTTTTTCTTTAAAATTTTCCATTTTAAGTTGGTTATTTTTGATAAAAGCAAATAATAATGATATGGTTTGATTTCATCAAAAATTGAAATATTTGGGTTCTTTGATATGCTGAATTTAACCGTGTATTTAGATTCTTAATTTTTGGTCCAGTTTTCAAATTGGTCTACATTAAGGTCCAAAGGGTCCAAAATTAAACTTAGTTTGATTTAAAAAAAAATTAAATTCTTGGGGTTCTTTGATATGCTGAATCTAACCGTGTATGTATTTAGATTTTGGATATTGGACCATAATAGGTAAATTAAAATTTTTTAAGTTCTTAGACCACATTCAATCTGTGTCAGAAACCTATGCTGTGTCAAATATTTAATCACAATCAAAATTCAGAGCTGTATCAAGCTTGAATGTTGTGACCATACTTGCCCCAACTATTCAGGGATTCGACCTCTGCGGTCGTATCAAGCTGCGCCCAGTGGAGCATTTTATTAGAAGTTTGAAGGGTTATCATGTTAAGTTGGAGTGGTAAATTGTAGGATAGTTCTTATTATTTTGTAGGCAAGAATTGCCTCTGAAGTCAGTGATTTTAAAGCTGAATGTAGTGATGATAGGATATTACAATGTTGTATACAATATCAAAGTAACAGTGAGTATTGTTATAATGTAGTGATGATAGGATATTACAATGTTGTATACAATATCAAATTAACAGTGCGTATTGTTATAAATTGAAAAGAAAAGATAACATTTTTTGAGAAAACATTTAGCATGTTGATAATGCATGAATAATATGAGGCAAAAACAAAAAAGGCATGTAATTATTCACAATGATATATATGTTGTAATGTAAATAACTAGTAATACTATTAATGAGATCTAGAGTTTGGCTAATACAACTCTCATAAATATGAGAAAAATCGAGAGTAGGTGTCCTTTAAAAGTAAGTATATCCTGCTAAAATGTACTGCCTTGTAATAAAAAGGGAGGAATTGTGTATGATTCAACATCAAATAGCAAGTATTCCATATGTTAATTTGTCATTGTTGTTGATTCCTGTTAAATAAAAAAGCTAAACTTTGATTATGACATTTGCAATAATTTGTTAATTTAATAATAAGTGTATTATTGTTTATTTAAGATCCAGATTGTTCAGTATTGCTGCTGACTAAAGATTTAAATTTGTGCAATAAATCTCTTATAAATGGCATTAAGGCATTCCCGCTGTTGGTAAGTTAATTATATCATTGGTTTTCATTGAGGTCTAATGTTTGTTACAACTATTTTATATATTTAAAAACTGTACACATAGTTTGACTATATTTTGTGACTGTACCAAGTCAAAACTATCACAAGATGTATTATTCATTGTTGTTTGAACGTCAATTTTTTTCTTCTTCAGAGGAATGGGTGGTTGGTATATATCCAATACTTTTGGGGATTCCTGTCATTGTTTTTATGCATTTTTCTGATGTAAATTGAATCCTGTATAAACAAGACTTATCTACTGAACCAATGTATCAGTCCATGCGGTGTAAATATTGTTTGATAATTATTATACCCCCGCTTTAAAAAAGTGGGGTATACTGTTTTACCTCTGTCTATCCGTCAGTCCATTCGTCAGTCCATCCGTCCGTCCCAAGGTTATTTTTCTTAGCATTTTTCTCAGGAACTTCATTACAAGGATTTCTGAAATTTGGTTTCAGGGTTTATATGAGTCAGCTATACCATGTGATGCGTTTTCAGATTCATCACTCAACAACTTCCTGTTTACCTAACACTTTCATCATTTTACACATGACATCCAAGTAGTTGAAAATTTTCGTCACATTTATCTCAGGAACTACATTACAAGGATTTCTGAAATTTGTTTTCAGGGTTTATATGAGTTAGCTATACCGTGTGATTCGTTTTCAGATTCATCACTCAACAACTTCCTGTTTACCGAAATATTTGGGCGGGGGTATCATCATCACAGTTTCACTTGTTAATCATGTGTAAACTCAACATAGTTTTAATTTTAATAGAATCTCCAATTCTGAAGAAGTCCTTATTGAAATATTTTACTGGACCATTAACACATTTTTATAAGAGGACATTTTCTTTTACACAGGAAGGAGAACAACATTTTGATAATTTCAAAAATAACAATACTGTTGAAGACAGAATATCTATAGAAGACAGGAAAGAAAGGGATGAAAACCTCCCTAGAATAGAGGGATTAGATTTACTATTCCAAACCAATGATATAATGTCACAGGAAGGATTGATCAATGCTGAATGGCAACATGAAACAGAAAAAACTTATGATGAACTGCTACAGGATATCAAATATTTTACAGACACAAAAGTTAGTGAAAAGATTAATTTATTGTTGCAACAATACGAAGATAAATGATTAATGAAAAAAAAAAATATATTGGACTGTACTCACCAATAGGTTCAATGCAGTATGATAAGACCACTTCAGGCAATGGCTCCTTTTTGGGGTCAACCTTTAAGAACCCAGAGGTTTATGAAATATAAAAAAAATCCATCTGACAATAGACTGTTTTTAAATCTCAGTGTGGTTTTTTTACATGGCTAATTCTAGTTTTGATGTGAATGGTTTGCCATAGGTGGCTCCTCAATGATATTTCATATTTCTCCCACATTTTCATTTATTTATATGTATTTTATGTAAACAATATATCCTAGGTTTTAAATTATTTTTATCTTTGTTTTTTTCTAGATTGTGAAGCAACAGTACCGCAGGTAAGGATAACATATAAGTGTTCTATAATTAAAGTAGCCAGATTTAGTTAAAAAAATAAGAATAAGTAGTAGATGGACTATTGAAAGGGTCTGTATAAACTGACAAATGTGACACAAATATTTGGACAATTGATTTGTGAAGTGCTTTCAGTGATTTTGTACTTTTGATTCTACACTGTACCTTGTAGTTTGGTACATTTTCCTTTTGCTGTAGGTCTTAAAACAAATACGGGAAATATTGAGACTTATATAAACTTGAAATGATGAGGCTTCATGAAGAGGCTAAAGATTGTGAGAGAAAAATTATTTCCATTGATTAAAAGGTCGATTTGACAGATTTCTGCATTTCTCTTTGGATATATGTAAACCATCCTGGCATCCAATATATTCTAGTTGTTCATCAAAAGCATTGGCAAAAAATGATATATTAAATGGACATGGGATTTAGAATATGTTCAGAACAAGTTGGACTGGCATGATAAGGTATTACAACAAGAGTGCACACGCTGAAATGTCTCGCCTTCTTTACTAATCATTGATATTATGTTGATAGTCCTAAATATAAAGCTTTATTACAACTGTCACATAAACTTAACATTAACCAAGTAAACTAAACATTGACCAATGAACCATGAAAATGAGGTCAAGGTCAGATGAACCATGCTAGGCAGGCATGTACAGCTAACAATTCTTCCTTACAACAAATATAGTTGACCTATTGCTTATAGTTTAAGAAAAACAGACGAAAACACAAAAACTTAACACTGAGCAATGAACCTTGAAAATGAGGTCAAGGTCAAATAAAACCTGCGTAACTGACATATAGATCATAAAATATTTCCATACACCAAATATAGTTGAACTATTGCATATAGTATTAGAAAAAAAGACCAAAACTCAAAAACTTTAACTTTGACCACTGAACCATGAAAATGAGGTCAAGGTAAGATGACACCTGCCAGCTAGACATGTACACCTTACAATCATTCCATACACCAAATATAGCTGACCTATTGCATGCAGTATTAGAAAGAAAGACCAAAACTCAAAAACTTAACTTTGACCACTGAACCATGAAAATGAGGTCAAGGTCAGATGACACCTGCCAGCTAGACATGTACACCTTACAATCATTCCATACACCAAATATAGTAGACCTATTGCATACAGTATAAGAAAAACAGACCAAAACACAAAAACTTAACTATAACCACTGAACCATGAAAATGAGGTCAAGGTCAGATGACACCTGCCAGTTGGACATGTACACCTTACAGTCCTTCCATACACCGAATATACTAGACCTATTGCTTATAGTATCTGAGATATGGACTTGACCACGAAAACTTAACCTTGTTCACTGATCCATGAAATGAGGTCGAGGTCAAGTGAAAACTGTCTGACGGGCATGAGGACCTTGCAAGGTACGCACATACCAAATATAGTTATCCTATTACTTATAATAAGAGAGAATTTAACATTACAAAAAATCTGAACTTTTTTTTCAAGTAGTCACTGAACCATGAAAATGAGGTCAAGGACATTGGACATGTGACTGACGGAAACTTCGTAACATGAGGCATCCATATACAAAGTATGAAGCATCCAGGTCTTCCATCTTTTAAAATATAAAGCTTTTAAGAAGTTAGCTAACGCCGCCGCCGCCGCCGCCGCCGCCGCCGCCGCCGGATCGCTATCCCTATGTCGAGCTTTCTGCGACAAAAGTCGCAGGCTCGACAAAAATAAAGTTGATAAAATTTAAAATATAAATTGGCAGTCATAATTCTACTAAAAAATGAATAAATTAAATTTACAATGGTCAATAGTTGCAGTGTTTTTAGCTCACCAGGGCCCGAAGGGCCCCATGTGAGCTTATGCCATCACTTGGCTTCCGTCGTCTGTCGTCGTCGTCTGTCGTCGTAAACTATTTCAGAAATCTTCTCCTCTGAAACTACTGGGCCAATTACCTTCAAACTTTAATTAAATGTTCCTTAGGGTATCTAGTTTATAAATTGTATCCGAAGTTTTGATCCATAGACTAACATGGCCGCCATGGCTAAAAATAGAACATAGGGGTCAAATGCAGTTTTTGGCTTATATCTCAAAAAACTAAAGCTTTTAGAGCAAATCTGACATGGGGTGAAATTGTTCAGTTGGTCAAGATCTATCAGCTCTGAAATTTTCAGACGAATCGAACAACCCATTGTTGGGTTGCTGCCACCGAATTGGTAGTTTTAACAAAATTTTGCAGTTTTTAGCTCACCTGGCCCAAAGGGCCAAGTGAGCTTTTCTCATCACTTGGCGTCTGTCGTCCGTCGTCGTCGTCCGTCGTCGTTAACTTTTACAAAAATCTTCTCCTCTGAAACTACTTGGCCAAATTAAACCAAACTTAGCCACATTCATTATTGGGGTATCTAGTTTAAAACATGTGTCGGGTGACCCGGCCAACCAACCAAGATGGCCACCATGGCTAAAAATAGAACATAGGGGTAAAATGAAGATTTTGGCTTATATCTCTGAAATCAAAGCATTTAGAGCAAATCAATGACATGGGGGTAAAATTGTTTATCAGGTCAAGATCTTTCTGCCCTGAAATTTTCAGATGAATCCGACAATCGGTAATTTTAAGGAAATTTTGCCGTTTTTGGTTATTATCTTGAATATTATTATAGATAGAGATAAACTGTAAACAGCAATAATGTTCAGCAAAGTAAGATCTACAAATAAGTCAACTTGACCAAAATGGTCAGTTGACCCCTTAAGGAGTTATTGCCCTTTATAGTCAATTTTTAATCATTTTTCGTAAATTTTTGTAATCTTTTACAAAAATCTTGTCCTCTGAAACTACTAAGACAAATTTAACCAAACTTGTCCACAATCATCATTAGGGTATCTAGTTTAAAAAATGTGTCCGATGACCCTGCCCGACATGGCTAAAAAATAGTACATAGGGTAAAATGCAGTTTTTGGCTCATATCTCTGAAACCAAAGCATTTAGAGCAAATCTGACGAGAAAAAAATTGTTCATTAGTTGAAGATCTATCTGCCCTGAAATTTTCAGACCAATCAGGCAACACATTGTTGGGTTGCTGCCCCTGAATTGGTAATTTTAAGAAAATTTTGCAGCTTTTGGTTATTATCTTGAATATTATTATAGATAGAGGTAAACTGTAAACAGCAATAATGTACAGCAAAGTAAGATCTACAAATAAGTCACCACAACCTAAATTGTCAATTGACCCCTTAAGGAGTTATTGCCCTTTATAATCAGTTTTTTACAATTTTCATAAATTTTGTAAATTTTTGTAAATTTTTACAAAATATTTTCCACTGTAACTACTGGGCCAAGTTCATTATAGATAGAGATAATAGTGAGGAGCAAGAATGTTCAGTAAAGTAAGATCGACAAACACATCACCATCACCAAAACACAATTTTGTCATGAATCCGTCTGTGTCCTTTGTTTAATATGCACATAGACCAAGGTGAGCGACACAGGCTCTTTAGAGCCTCTAGTTTGTTATTATTTTGAATATTATTATAGATATATATAAACTGTAAGCAGCAATAATGTTCAGCAAAGTAAGATCTACAAAAAAGTTAATATGACCATAATTGTCAATTGACCCCTTAAGGAGTTATTGCCCTTTAAAGACAAATTTACACAATTTTTTCATCAAGTTTGCTAACATTTAAAAATCTGAAACTACTGGGCCAATTACCTTCAAACTTTAAATAAATGTTCCTTAGGGTATCTTGTTTATAAATTGTATCCGAAGTTTGTATCCATCGACAAACATGGTCACCATGGCTAAAAATAGAACATAAGGGTCAAATGCAGTTTTTGGCTTATATCTCAAAAACTAAATCTTTTAGAGCAAATGTGACATGGGGTAAAATTGTTTTGTATCGTCCCAAGACACATTAGTTTTCGCACTCTAACTTTAGTTTAAGTGAATGGATCTCAATGAAATTTAATCATAAGGGTCAATACCACAAAAGGAAGGTGGGGATTGATTTTGGGGGTTATGGTACCCACAGGTGAGGAAATAGGGGCCAAAAAAGGGGCCAAAAATAAGCATTTTTGTAACTTCCAGACATAACTATTGTGTAAGTGTATGGATCTCTCTGACATTGTACCACAAGGTTCCATATCACAAAGGGAATGCTGGGATTGATTTTGGAGGTAATTGCCTCAAAATTTTAGGAATTAGGGGCCAAAAAGGGGCAAAAAACAACATTTTTCTAGTTTCATGACAATAACTTGTGTGTAAGTGTATGGATCTCTCTGACATTGTATCACAAGGTTCCATATCACAAAGGGAATGCTGGGATTGATTTTGGGGGTAATTGCCTCCAAATTTTAGGAATTAGGGGCAAAAAAGGGGCAAAAACAAGCATTTTTCTAGTTTCATGACAATAACATGTGTGTAAGAGTATGGATCTTTATGAAATTGTACTACAAGGTTCCATATCACAAAGGGAAAGCTGGAATTGAGTTTGGGGGTAATTGCCCAAAAAGTTTATCAAAAAGGGGCCAAAAATAAGCATTTTTCTAGTTTCCAGACAATAACTTGTGTTCAAATGTTAGGATCTCTCTGAAATTATACTGCAAGGTACCATACCACAAAGGGAAGGCTGGGATTGATATTGGGGGTAATTCCCTCAAAATTTTAGTAATTAGGGGCCATAAAAAGGCAAAAAAACAAGCATTTTTCTAGTTTCAGGACAATAACTTGTGTGTAAGTGTATGGATTTTTATGAAATTGTACTGCAAGGTTCCATATCACAAAGGGAAAGCTGGGTTTGAGTTTGGGGGTAATTGCCCTAAACGTTTAGGAATTTGGGGCCAAAAAGGGGCCAAAAACCGAGCATTTTTCTAGTTTCCAGACAATAACTTGTGTTCGAGTGTATGGATCTCTCTGAAATTGTACTGCAAGGTACCATACCACAAAGGAAAGCTGGGATTGAGTTTGGGGGTGATGAATCGTAAGGGGGTTCAAAAAATTGGGGGGGATTTTTTTTTCCTTTTTTTTCTTTAAAATTTTCCATTTTAAATTGGTTATTTCTGATTTATATATAAAAGCAAATAATAATATGGTTTGAATAGGTAAATTTAAATTTTTTAAATTCTTAGACCACTTTCATTCTGTGTGAGAAACCTATGCTGTGTCAAATATTTAATTACAATCCAAATTCAGTGCTGTATCAAGCTTGAATGTTGTGTCAATATTTGCCCCAACTGTTCAGGGTTCGACCTCTGCGGTCGTATCAAGCTGTGCCCCAGCGGAGCATTTTATTTGTTATTATTTTGAATATTATTATAGATATATATAAACTGTAAGCAGCAATAATGTTCAGCAAAGTAAGATCTTAAAAAGTTAATATGACCAAAATTGTCAATTGACCCCTTAAGGAGTTATTGCCCTTTAAAGACAATTTTACACAATTTGTTCATCAAGTTTGCTAACATTTAAAAATCTTCTCCTCTGAAATACAGGTGAGCGATTCAGGCTCTAGAGAGCCTCTTGTTAAAATATATTTTTGAGTGAGAGCGAGAATGGTGTGAATTTTTTTACAAGGAAAAAAAAAAAGGAAAAGAATTTAGCTGATGTCTAAGTAAAGTTGCAAAATATGGCAATTTTCATGGACATTGTAATAGTGGAGAATTAAGCAAAAAACATAATCTTGCTGCCTCTCCAACGTTTTGTATGACAAGGATTATTTGATGTAACCAAAAATAAGTATATTGTTATATATAAATGATTTATGTTCATCAGTTTGTGAATAGTTCTGATATTTTTTTCCAGGTTACAGGATAAAATTATAGATGAACACAATTCAACATGGAGACAGTAAGTGAACATAGTGAAAAACTGTAAAAATAAATTCACTTTAGTTGTCCTTTGGGAAATTGTCCCCGTACATTATAAGTGGGAAAGCATTTGTTTTTGTTATTTTCTGTCTGTATGTTATCTAGTTGCCCAATTCTCTTCAGTTTACACTAAAACAAAAACTTGTAACACATTGTGCAATTGTGCACCTATTCTTTTTGTTCAGACTTATTTTATTTTTTTGTTTAGGAAGTAAGCATTTTCAAAGACTTTGTATCAATGAGATAATGGTAAGATATAATGTCCTTTTGAACATCGACAGCAAGAAAGTTGTGTCAAAAGATATCTTTATTTATTGATAGAATCAGGCTTGGTTGATAATGAAATAATTTTAAAGAGTACTTATTAAAACAGGGTACAAAGACCCTCTTGATACATAAAACAGTATTTGGCTTTCTTAATGCCTGTTTTTGGTCATTTTAATACCAGTATGTTGAGGTTTATACCAAGATACATTATTTTAATAGCAAAATAATGTATAAGTAGAAATTGTTAAAAACAATCTCCTCTTTCCTCTAATAAGAACAAAACGCTAATTAACAATAGACAAGTATAATAAACACTAATAAACACAAAAAATAGAGGAAAAATAGTATAGTAACATGACCTAAAAAAACTACTGAAGATAAAAACAACTATGTTACTAAATGAATAAACTAATTGATAGTATGAAATATTATTAATTTTATATATCTCTTCTGACAGGGTTGCAATTTTACCATACACCTCTGATTGCTTTTGTAAAAACACAGGCAAACTTCTTGGAGAATATGCCATTCAAAAGAAATTCCTGGAGGAAAGGCATTTTACTGTTGTTGAGGTAAGACTGAATAATAGATATATTAAAATGACATTGCAACATGGAAAGGTTGTTCACAACATCAACCAGAAAAATGTTAAAGGTGCAAAATATAGAGCCTCATGGTCTATATAGTCTCAAGATGGCTGGCTAAACAGATCACATCAATTGAGGGTCTCAATATTGATCGAATTTAAATATCACAAAGGTTTATGGGAAAGGGGAAAATAAAAAAACATAAATAAAAGATAAACTGGCGATACCAGGATGAAAGAAAAAAAATGAGAAGACAATTAACAGTTCACAAAACATAACACAAGCTTAAGATTGAACAAAACAAACCCTATTAAAACTTTGGGTTACCTATGGTGCTTAAGAATTTTATTTATATCTTTCTACATCAGTGGCTCCTATAATGATGCTCATGGCTAGTTCAAATCCACTGATTTTGCAAATGATGTTATAATGAGAAAAGAAGGACCAGATTGTGGTTACAACTAATGATACATATCTATGATTACATGTCACACAGCTCTTTCATACTTACTTATTAATTAATTTTCTCTTCTCTTTCAGGTTAAGTACAGTGAAATGCATAAAATGAGAGAGAAGTTGAAAGCCTTTATTCCACTTGCACATCAGACAGAACCAAAACATTTAAGACAGTTAAAACACATGATATATCAAAACAGATTTCCATTGTATTTTATTTCTTATTGACTGTAATCAAAATGACTTAACCTTTGTGTTCTTCTTCTTTGTATGCTGAATTGATGTTAAAGTATCGCCAAAGTTTATCACAGTGTGTAATTTAGACAATCACAGAATTTTGTTATACAAACCCAAATATGTTTACACAGTATATGTATGAAGATATGTGGAATATGTAATTTAAAACTCCGGAAACTACATTAGCCTTGCTATGAAATATAAATTTTGTGATCATACAAAATTTTTTACTTTACTCATTTATTATGCTAATGTTTGCCAATGTTAACTTGGACTGTTAAGATATTGCAGCGAGTTATACACCTGTCAATATGGAATTGTTCAAGGATCTGTTTGTGAACACTAACATTTCTGAACAAGACATTTCAGCAAAATTTTGAGAAGGAAATACCCAATTTATGTAGTCAAGTCCCCATCCAGTTTCCAAATCAAATCCCTTTAACTTTACAGAATGGATCTCATATACAAGAGGTGTTTTGTGAGTTTTCCTCACTTTTCCATACTCAGAGAAGATGAATCACATTTTCAGTAAATTAAGGCATAGAATTAATGATTTTGCTTAATCCATATATTTTTAAGTTTTATATCTGTATTGATTTTAAACCTTTATTATAGACCCTTCTTGTTTCAGTGAATTACTGTGAAAACTGTCCATATGAGACTTTACCCATTTTTACAATACATGCAAATCTTATTTGATTATTTTTATAATTCTTTCTAATTATACTTTGTTGTATGAGAAGAAAGACAAAATGCTTTTACTTTTTTTTTTAAGGAAGATGATCAGCAATGAATTAAAATGAATCATTCCATACACTGTATTATCCATATCCTAATAAAATGATTTGTAAAAAGTATTATTTGTATTTTTTATCAAATGCATAGTAGTAAACAATATACCTTTACTATTAAACTGAGTTGGTATACTGCAATCACCTTGTCTGTATGATCTTCAGGAGTTATGGTCCTTACTATTTTGGGAAATTGCATTTTATGCACTTTCCATTCAATAACTGAGGAATCGTTTTACCAATGCTTTTCAAATTATAATACATGGATATGTTGTTACTGATGACAAAATAAAGGTCAAGTTTGACATTGCAGATTTTAACTTTTACTGCTCAGGACTTATTTTCCTTGATATAATGGAAAATGGCTATGCATTTCAGTGCAATAACTTATGAACTAATGCTTTTCAAAGTACTGTTTGATATGTTTTAACTGATAACAAAATAGAATTCAAGTTCAATATTGTTGTTTTCACTTTTGCTGTTCAGGAGTTTAAAGTCCTTGATAGATTTGAAAATAAGAACTGAGCATGGAACATGGAACAAGCATGAAAGCATTTTTAAAATACAGAAAACCTGTGTCATATTAGAATTATTGGTTATGGTAATTGAAAAACAGACCAAAACACAAAATCTATAACAACACAAATTAATAACTTCAGAGTCTGTTTGGACTAGTAATGGTGTATATAATGAACTATCTTGAACAATATTGACGAATGAACTGTGAAAATGATGTCAAGGTCAGATTATACCTACCAGACAGACATGTACACCTTACAATAATTCCATACACCAAATATAGTTGACCAACTGCTAATAGTTCTTGAAAAACTGATCAAAACTCAAAAACTTAACATTGACCACTGAACCATAAAAAAGGTCAAGGTCAGATGAAACCTGCCAGACTAACATGTACCTTACAATCATTCTATACACCACATATAGTTGTCCTACATCTTATAGTATCTGAGAAACCGACCTAATCACAAAACGTTTTACCTTGATCACTGACTGATCCATGAAATGAGGTTGAGGTCAGGTGAACCCTGTCTGATGGACATGTAGACGTTGCAAGGAACCCATATACCAACTATAGTTATCCTATCACTCATAATAAGAAAGATATTCACATGACATAAAAAAAATTTTGTTTAAAGCAGTCGCTGAACCATGAAAATTAGGTCAAGGACAATGGACATATGACAGACGGAAACTTCATAATATAAGGTATCTGCATACAAGGTATGAAACATCAAGGTCTTCTACCTATCGGAAATAAGCTTTATACAAATAGTTTACACCACCACTGTCGCTGCCGGATAGGAATCCCTGTCTCGTATACTGCCACATCTCGTCACAGGCAAGACAGAAATGATAGATATTAATCTACTTTGATTGGCTCATATTGTTAAGTTTCTGTCTCGGTAATAATTCCAAACATCTTTTTTCAGTCTTTGAATATCCCACTCGAAAGATTGGGGGCCACTGGTTTACCTATGTCCTATGTCTGTGGTTCTTTGAAATTTTTCTCATTTTTAGCTCACCTGGCCCGAAGGGCCAAGTGAGCTTTTCTCATCACTTAGCGTCCGTCGTCGGCGGCGTCGTTGTCGTCCATCGTCAATAGCTTTTTACAAAAATCTTCTTCTCTGAAACCACTGGGCCAAATTTAACCAAACTTGGCCACAATCATTATTAGGGTATCTATTTTAAAAAATGTGTCCGATGACCCCGCCAACCAACCAAGATGGCCGCCATGGCTAAAAATAGAACATAGGGGTAAAATGTAGATTTTGGCATATATCTCTGAAACCAAAGCATTTAGAGTAAATCTGACAAGGGTAAAACTGATTATCAGGTCAAGATATCTTGAATATTATTATAGATAGAGATAAACTGTAAACAGCAATAATGTTCAGCAAAGTAAGATCTACAAATAAGTTGTCATGACCAAAATTGTCAGTCGACCCCTTTAGGAGTTATTGCCCTTAATAGTCAATTTTTAACAATTTTTTGTAAATTTTTGTAATCTTTTACAAAAATCTTCTTCTCTGAAACTACTGAGACAAATTTAACCATACTTGGCCATAATCATTATTAGGGTATCTAGTTTAAAAATTTGTCGGATGACCCCGCCTTCCAACCATCATGGCCGACTTGGTTAAAAATAGAACATAGGGGTAAAATGCAGATTTTAGTTTATATCTCTGAAACTAAAGCATTTAGAGCAAATCTGATAGGTGGCAAAAATGTTCATCAGATTTAGATTTATCTGCCCTAAAATTTTCAGGCGAATCCGACAACCCGTTGTTGGGTTGCTGCCCCTGAGTTAGTAATTTTACAAAAATTTTGCAGTTTTTTGTTATTATCTTAGATATCATTATAATATCTAATATCTAATACTATTAATTATGATTTTAACCTTATTTTACATGATTTCCAAAGCATCAGTAAATACAGGTGAGCGACACAGGCTCTTGAGAGCCTCTAGTTTCAGAACTCAAATCTGAGCTTTCTGATTGTTTTGCTATCATGCTTTATGTAAATATGTTATACATTGAGATGGTTTTTTTTTTTTTTAAATATCCATTGCTCATCAACTTCATGTTTACCCATCACCAAGAAGGGACATAATTAGTGAGGAATAGTTCACCGTACATCTTGTTTATACATACACACATTATGAACATACATGGAAAAATTGTAAGTCTTTATGCTACAGTCACAACCAAAATAGGCCTGAATAAAGATGTGTGTATAAATTCAATTTATAGTACACCTAATTTTAGGAGCCAGAATTCACCATAACACAGTTGACAAGAATGAAAAACACACTTTTTAAATATATCGCTACACCTAAGGGGAATAACTCTTTTAAGAATTAACTGACAATTTCAGTCATGTTGACATGTTTGTAGATCTTATCTGGCTGTTAATTTTTCCTTTTTAAAGTTTCTATTTAGATAATAGGCAAAAAATGCATAAAAATTATCATTTAAGGGCAATAACTCAAATAACAAGTCGACTGAAGATTTCAGCCATTACGGCACATTTGTAGATCTTGTCTTGCTGATCATTTGTGCTATATAAAGTGTCTATCTATCTATTACAGTTTTCAAGATAATATGCAAAAACTTGGAAAATTGTAATTAAAGGGCAATAACTTCAATAAGGAGTTGACTAACGATTTCGGTTATTTTGGCTTATTTGTTGATCTTGTCTTGCTGATCATTTTTGCTTTTTAAAGTTTCCATCTATCTATTACAATTTAAGAGATAAAAGGCAAAAATTTTTAAAAATGGTAAAATTTGTCAAGGTAAAAAAAAAGACAATAACTCCTACAAGAAGTCGTCCGACAGTTTTGACTTAAATCAACAATAGGTAGAGCTCAACATATGGAACATTTTTGCCCCTGTCAGATTTTCTGTATTTATAGCGTTTATGAAATAATAGGCAAAGCTTGCATTTTACCCCTACGTTCCATTTTTAGCCATGTCAGCAATCTTGGTTGACAGACAGGGTCATTGATACATTTTTTAAACTAGAAACACTAATGATGGCTGTGACCAATTTTGGTTAAATTTGGCCCTGTAGTTTCAGAGGAGAAGATTTTTGTAAAAGTTAACAACAATGATGGCAAGTGATGAGAAAAGCTCACTTGGCCTTTTGGCCAGGTGAGCTAAAAATCAGCTCAATATCTGAAAAGGTTTATGACTTACTAAAATATTTTAATGCAATTTATTTTTTATGCCCCACCTACGATAGTAGATAGGCATTATGTTTTTTGGTCTGTGCGTCCGTTCGTTTGTCAGTCTGTGCGTTCGTCTATCTGTCCCGCTTCAGGTTAAAGTTTTTGGTCAAGGTAGTTTTTGATGAAGTTGAAGTCCAATCAACTTGAAACTTAGTACACATGTTTCCTATATGATCTTTCTAATTTTAATTCCAAATTAAGAGTTTTGACCCCAATTTCACGGTCCACTGAACATAGAAAATGATAGTGCTAGTGGGGCATCCGTGTACTATGGACACATTCTTGTTAATAAATATTTTGATGTGATAATGTCATGTATTTTGAGGGGGTGTAATCCAGTTTACTGAGCTTCCTGGAATGCTCTGTACAATAACAGATATGTTTTAATTTTTCTAATAATTTGTTAAACAGGGATTTTTAAGCAAATAAATGGATTGGATTAACTGTAACATCTCTACATGTATCTTAGATTTTAAAGTCAAAAATATCTTTCTGGCTGTGCTTAAGTATCATTCAATTAATGACATGAAAATCAATGATGGGCATAGGAAACTAAGAAAATATAATACAGTCCTTTAACTGGACATGTGTTTTCTTATGTGTAGCAACTTCGTGGGAAAATCAATGAAGGGCATAGGAAACTAAGAAAATATAATACAGTCCTTTAACTGGACATGTTTTTTCTTATATCTAGCCACTTCGTGGGAAAATCAATGAAGGGCATTGGAAACTAAGAAAATATAATACAGTCCTTTAACTGGACATGTGTTTTCTTATGTATAGCCACTTCGTGGAATAGGGACAATAAAAAAAAGAAGAATTTGATTGGTAATGGCACTCATATATCATGTATAAAGAATATCAATTACCTGTAAGAAGTGAGTATTAACATATATAAAAGTTGTGTCAATAGAACAAGAAATTCTTACTTCTGTTCACTCATTTACTCAGGTATAAAAAGTAACCATTATTTTTAAAGTAAATTTTATTTTTTTGTAACAACAACAAACAAATTACAAAACATAAATGATGATCAATACATATTTGACAATCAGATTTTTTTTATGATTATTTATCTGTGCTTTAATTACAATAAAATGTGCTATTTTTATCAAGCATGATTATTTGCAGACAATGTAAAACTCTTCTAACAGGACAGACATAAAAGTATGTGCAGCAGCCACTGTTCTTTGGAGCAAAGAAGGTATAACAAGAAGTTCTATTTGTCCTCTTGCATCCCCTATCACTAAAATAATAGCTCTTCACTATAATGTCATAAAAAAAAAAAATTCTCTTCTCTCTAGGAAGGAATGTTACTAATTTCTCAACATGAACAATCTACATGAAATCATGTCAAACAAACAAAAAATAAATCTAATATTTTTGCCTTCAATGCAAAAAAAGGGGGTATCAGGAAAACTGGAGAATTCCATCACTGAAACTTATTTATAAATATAAAGTGATTGTCATAGTTATAGTTACTTTGGTTTAAAATGCTTTGTGTTATGACCCCAAACCTAACGATACTATATCAGATCTATTCTGAAGTCTCAATAAACTAGGAATAAAGTTTATAAATATGTTACAAATGGAATCTGTGAAACATCTAACTAGTGCAATATATTAAGTGTGTTAAAACAGTTAAAACAAATATGCAAAATCTAAATGCCAACCATCAGGATATTTTGATTGAATTTCAATCTGGTTTCTTCAGATTTTCAGACTAGTAGCTGATTTGGCAATGATGTTTAACAATCGGTGATAGCGAAAAAAAGAGAGAAATGAATGCACAGAAAGCTTAGTAATGGAATCGGCAATATTTAAAAAATAGAGTTTTAAAAATAGTGATTATATGCCTGTTTATGGGACGTATTAAGGTATACAATAACTCAAAAACGTTTTAAACAATTTGCATGAAACTTTGGTTAATTGTTTATATCTATTGACGTGAGCTCCCATTTGTTTTTTATAAATTTTAGATTTTATGTTTCCGAGATATTTTTATTTAATTTTCAGAGACTAAATAGGCCCTAAAGTGTACCTTCTCTTTGATTTTATATTTATTTAGTGTATTATTTGATAAACATAATATGTTAGATTTCACAAATTCAACAACCCCTTTTATCCTTCTAATCCATCATTTTATTTTGTAAAGTAGGCTGAGAATTTTTTGACAACCAAAACAAATAAATAGCATTAGAATCTGATTTCAAGGTACATTAATTTTTTCAATACCTTCACTTTTTTAATGCTCTACAGGTTCTTTACCTATTAGGAAAACAAATCTGAGTAAATGTTACATGACACTGGTGAAGATCATTTATTAAAATTTCTTAGAAAAACAAAGGATATGGGGTATCCATCCATGCCACAAAATTAGTACATGCACAGCAAAAAACACACAAAAAGCAAAGGAACAGCGCTTTTATTGCTGTTCTTCATCTCAAAGTCACAGTGAGGCCTTCAACACAGATAAAAAAAAACTCTCACCTATATGCAAGTTTAAGACATCCCCTAGCAACAGTTAATTCTTTGCAAAATGATTCGGATAGACTTTGTAAGATGCATCACCACCAAATCAGGCCCGGCTTTTCTGTTTTTAGTTTTAGATTTTGATAATAATTAAATCAACAGGATTCCCGATTTCAATACACCTTATCGCTATTTGTCTGCCATTACAGACATTTTGTAAAATTTTGGGGTTGTCGTAAGAGAAAATGTCTGATGTAACAATGCAAAAGGGATTGTTGTATGATGCCAATAGTTCAAGTGTCACACAATCTCAGGTCCAGTGTCACAGATTCTGAAAAAAGCGATAAGGTCTTTAGTTATCATCTTTATAGTAATATTCTGATAAAACAACAAAATTCTCAGAATAGTGTGTTACAAAATGGGATCAGTAATGAAGCTTATAACAAGTGGAATGCTATTATGTGGAATTCTGTGGAATCATTTATTTGTTTGGGTACCAATTTTTCGTGGATCAAGAAAATATTGTATTTTTGTGGATATTAGATTTTGTGTTTTTTTCAAATATTGCATATAAGACTATAAAATGTTTGTACTTCATTGAACATTTAAATTCGTTGTTCATCTATATCCATGAATTCTGTGAAAATTGGTATCTAATAAAAAATAATGAATCCACAGTAATATACATGTATATTGCAAAAAAAAAGCCATATCATAGAGTATGATTTACACAGTTTATAACCCATAACAAATAACACATATAATACTCATGATATAGTTCTACCTTGTGTATAAAATAACTAAACTGACAGACTTGATATGGCTGTTATGTGTTCACAAACATTAAATATTATTAGTATACAACAATAAACAGAGAAAACAGATTCTAGTCCATTGATGCCAAACCTTTATCTTCCCATAAAACTGTGGTCATAATATATACATAAAAATCTAGTAAACTACAAAATGGTTGCATAATTCTTGAAATGCTAAACAAAATAAAGAATATCTAGAAAAGCCTTATAAGAGAGAAGGTATAAGGCCACTTTTTTAGCCCCTTGAATTCAAAAATCAAAAAGTACTACAAATCTACCAAATAACATCCTTCAGTTGTTTATAGTCTGTCCGACATTCTGTATTTATATTTATGGACATAAAAAAACAGCCAAAATAGCCTCATTTTTATCTTTTTATTGTTATTTAAATATGAGCAAGAGATTTACCCCAAAAGATATATGTTACTACAATGTTTTTTACAAAGATGGTAATTTGTGTAAAATATCTTTTTGAGTAAAGCTATTGCTCAAATACATTTTGACCAAAAACTACAGGTATGTGTGAAATGGTAATTTTAGATCAAATATGTTAATTTCAACATGTTTCTGACATCAAAGTAACCTTTCTGCACTAAAGTTTCCAGATTAAAGCAACTGGTTCATTTATCAAAAAAATCAGCATAACAGCGTAATTTTCAATGGCTTGAATAAGTTTACTATTTTTGCAATTTCAGGGGCCAAATAATGGCACTTATACCTCCTGCTTTATAAAAAACTGTAAAACTAAAAAATACTTGATTTGTGTTCAAATAATTAGTCAACTGTTATTCTGGGTAATAAACAGTATAATCTTACAGATGTCAAAACACTACTAACTATCTTACAGGTGTCAAAACACTACTAACAATCTTACAGGTGTCAAAACACTATTAACAATCTTACAGGTGTCAAAACACTACTAACAATCTTACAGGTGTCAAAACACTATTAATCCTACTTATTCCTAAAAATTCCTTTATTAACACAAACATGGATATTACAAATTAAGCAGTTGAATATAAACGACTTTTATACCAGTAAAGCCATAAATGTCATTTATTTTTTTATAATAATTCAGTGTGTTTATAAATTCAAAAGAGATTATACAGAAAAAATTTATAAGAAGGTGTCAGATGTATACCGGCATGGGTTCAGAATGTTTTTTCTTGCAATTTTATTCATTTTTGAAAACTTAAAATTCAGGAATTTTTTATTTTCAAACTGTCAAAATCATACCAAAAGTCACTCTGTATTCATTTTTACAGCATGAACTTTTGCACCGTTTTTTTTTTATATATTTTTTTAATTTTTTTTTTTAAATATTCAGAGAATGATATGTGAAATGCAACAGTCATTGCATTAATTTAATTTATAAAAATTACAAAAACCGTAGGAATTCAGTATTAAACCAAAATTTAGTGAATGAAAACCAATTTTTGACCCTTGTGCTTTGGTAAATTTTCTCAATCATGTCAATTCCATTTGATTGAATGAATTTAGTTTTATTTTAGTCATTTGTAACTTAAATCAGTCATGTCTGTTGTGTCTGTTTTTTGACCCTTGCATACCAGTATAAATTTCAATGTACAATAAAACATTTTATAAGTGCTACAAACAATGAACATTCAGTACGATTGTCATTTTTAAATCATTTATCAAGATTTATAATCTTCTTAATTTTAGCTGTAGAAACACAAAAACTTGCAATTATTTAAGACGTAATTCTTTATGAAGGATGTGTGTGCATCACTTGCCACAGACATTCATTCAATGTCATGCTTCAATGATTAAATAACTAGGTCTAAGTGTAAATATGAGACAACAGACAGGTTATGAATATCAAAATAGGAAGTGCAAAAATTTAATTCTGGTAGAAAATGAAGCACAAGTTTTGACCATTTCTGTACAGTTATGATGATTAGCAATATACTAATTGAAGAAGAAGCCAATAAGTTACCATTCCAAATTGTCCTGTAGAAAGGACTGTGTAAATTTGTCTGGTCTCTGTTAAGGGGTAGGAATTATGACTTACAAATTTGTGGTCCCTCTTAATCACACTGAAAACAGCTTTGAATACCAGGAAAACAACACAGAAATCAATGAGATTAAAAAAATATAAATAAGCAGTGCACAACTTATATAATTAACTACTTGAAGAATCCATGCATGTTTGGTTGGACTCTGTCAAGTGGTTTAAGAAGACAACACAACCATATATACTAAATTCTAAATTTCATATAAGACTATGACTGCAACACACAAATTGCTGTAATTTTTTCTAAAATGAGTATAATATAAAATAAAGTTTAACTGTAAAATATTGTGTGAAATGAAGCCCAAAATTGTATTAAACTTTACTTTTTGTATTCGAAGTTAAAAGAATTCATGGTTCTAGCAACCACAAAATTATATGCATATACATATATATATATAGAATGTATTACAAGTACCAAAGCAGTGTTTATCAAATTTAATATATCGTTGCATATTTGAAAGTTGTGATTCCTAAGAAATTCCAAATAACTATATATAGCTAAACTTAACTGTTTCTGCTATTCCTTTATCAAAGATTGTCATTTTTAATAGATATATACTGTTTCATTGCTGATCTTTATTAAATCATTGTAAGCAACCATAAAAAAATACTTTCCCAAAAACATTACATAAGCTAATAATAGCAATTTAAAATGTATTACATTTGTCATTGAATATATCCCTAGCTGATGCTCTGGAAAAAAAAATCTGTTCTAAACTGTAATATTATAGTGATTTGTGGTCAACAGTTCTTGGATTACAACAGATGTAGATGAGTTTTATGATAATTATGCATAAAATATGACCACTTTTGTTTAGACTAAAAACTACCCAAACCAATATCTTAATATCAGTCATGTACAGTGTATATAAAAAAACGTATTTTTGGAATTAGTCTCTGGATCCACCAAAGATAGCCAGAATGAAGAGGAATAGATTGACAATATCCAGATACAGATTCAGGGCAGCAAAAATGTACTCTTCTGGTGACAAGGAGTACTTGTGTTTCCCTCCTAACATCAACTGTGTGTCAAATACAATGTACTGAAAATAATATAATGTACATACAGAAACTTGATTTTTCTAGTAATCTGTACCATCATAATGAAATAAATAATAGGCTTTTTATTAATCTGCGAAACTTATCCTATTTCATCTATGTGGCAGTCATTGTGGACTTCACTATCAATGAAAATATATCTTATGGATTTGTTTTCAACTATTTTTAATGGTAAACGATCAATTTATTATATTCACAGACCCGTGCTGAGTAATACAAACTTAAGGCTTTGAGGAGCATGTACTCATCTATCTATAAAATTGACTCGATCAGAGTTATTTCCTCCAGAGTCAGACAAAAGAATTGGATAACTCAAGTGGAGCAGGAACTGTTTACCACTTCTGGAGCACCGGAGTTCATTCCTGATTTTTAGGGGGGTTCAGTTACTCAATCTCTGGTTTTCTATGTAGTGTTTTATAGACTTGTATGACTTTTTTTTGTTTTTTGCTATGGCATTGTGAGTTTTTCTTTGACTTGTGAGTTTTTCTTTGACTTGTGGGTTTTTCTTTGACTTGTGGGTTTTTCTTTGACTTGTGGGTTTTTCTTTGACCTGTGAGTTTTTCTTTGACTTGTGAGTTTTTCTTTGACTTGTGAGTTTTTCTTAGACTTGTGAGTTTTCTTTGACTTGTGAGTTTTTCTTTGACTTTTGAGTTTTTCTTAGACTTGTGAGTTTTCTTTGACTTGTGAGTTTTTCTTTGACTTGTGAGTTTTCTTTGACTTGTGGGTTTTTCTTTGACTTGTGAGTTTTTCTTTGACTTGTGGGTTTTTCTTTGACCTGTGAGTTTTTCTTTGACTTGTGAGTTTTAGGGGGGTTCAGTTACTCAATCTCTGGTTTTCTATGTAGTGTTTTATAGACTTGTATGACTTTTTTTTGTTTTTTGCTATGGCATTGTGAGTTTTTCTTTGACGTGTGAGTTTTTCTTTGACTTGTGGGTTTTTCTTTGACTTGTGGGTTTTTCTTTGACTTGTGAGTTTTTCTTTGACTTGTGGGTTTTTCTTTGACCTGTGAGTTTTTCTTTGACTTGTGAGTTTTTCTTAGACTTGTGAGTTTTCTTTGACTTGTGAGTTTTTCTTTGACTTGTGAGTTTTTCTTAGACTTGTGAGTTTTCTTTGACTTGTGAGTTTTTCTTTGACTTGTGAGTTTTTCTTAGACTTGTGAGTTTTCTTTGACTTGTGAGTTTTTCTTTGACTTTTGAGTTTTTCTTAGACTTGTGAGTTTTCTTTGACTTGTGAGTTTTTCTTTGACTTGTGAGTTTTCTTTGACTTGTGGGTTTTTCTTTGACTTGTGAGTTTTTCTTTGACTTGTGGGTTTTTCTTTGACCTGTGAGTTTTTCTTTGACTTGTGAGTTTTAGGGGGGTTCAGTTACTCAATCTCTGGTTTTCTATGTAGTGTTTTATAGACTTGTATGACTTTTTTTTGTTTTTTGCTATGGCATTGTGAGTTTTTCTTTGACGTGTGAGTTTTTCTTTGACTTGTGGGTTTTTCTTTGACTTGTGGGTTTTTCTTTGACTTGTGAGTTTTTCTTTGACTTGTGGGTTTTTCTTTGACCTGTGAGTTTTTCTTTGACTTGTGAGTTTTTCTTAGACTTGTGAGTTTTCTTTGACTTGTGAGTTTTTCTTTGACTTGTGAGTTTTTCTTAGACTTGTGAGTTTTCTTTGACTTGTGAGTTTTTCTTTGACTTGTGAGTTTTCTTTGACCTGTGAGTTTTTCTTTGACTTGTGAGTTTTTCTTTGACCTGTGAGTTTTTGTTTGACTTGTGAGTTTTCTTTGACTTGTGAGTTTTTCTTTGACTTGTGAGTGTTTCTTTGATCTGTGAGTTTTTCTTTGACTTGTGAGTTTTTCTTTGACTTGTGAGTTTTTCTTTGACTTGTGAGTTTTGAATGTTCCCTTGGTATCTTCTGTCTCTTTCTTTTCATACCCATTTGTGTTACATGTTTATGTACAAAATATAATCTGAATAAAAAATACGACCATCCCATTGGATAAATGTCATCTTAACCTTTCATTTCATTTGAATGTGTTGGTTTCACCTGTAAATGGCAATTTAAATTCGAGTGAAAACTCATTAAAAATTACTAAAGGATTTTTCCCTAAATTTCTATAAATCTATAAACGATTGCATGATAATGTTTATCATTGATGAAAAGTAACCATTAGTAACAATTTGCAATATTTTTCTGAATTATTTTATTGAAACTTTTTGAAAAAGCTTACTATTCTAAAGAGACAGGGTTTAGCTCATTGTTAAAGGTCATACTGTGACCGGTACTTGTTTACAACTTTGCCTTTTGGTCTATTAACAGTAGCCTTGCAATCATACCATGTTTCCTTATTGCTATATAATACATACAAATGTACTTACTGCAGAGAATATAAGGGCTCCAATTGATGCATAAACCATACTCAGAATCTGTAATAAAATGTTTGTATATTTATTTGTTCAATAAGATAATACTGGTTTTCTATTCTTTATATAAACTAAAATGATAACATCTCTTTAATGGCAGGGTAGAAATAATCAATGCACTATGTAACTGAAATTTAGTGTGGAAATAATTTGAACATGCTGAATCAGTGTATATAAGTGTATTATACTCAATCATTTAAGCTCTGTAAACCAAAAAGCTGTATTATCCAATCAAATTCATCAATCCTGAGGAATTTAAATACCCGCAAGTTTGTTTCTGTATTACAATTTACCTTATTGTGAAAGATTGCAGCCAGAATTCCAAAAACGATTAACACAAGAAGTAAAACAAACAGCATTCCACCCATCATTGTGAAATCCCACTGAAAAAGACAAACACAGATTAATATGAACAGATATTTTAAATTAACAATCAGAGTAAATAAAGACTGGAACATCATTTTGTACATACAGTTAGGCCTTAGTTTTTTATTTTCTGGCATTCAACTTTATTACATATATTTGGTCAACTTCTGTTACCTTAACCAACAGTCTTTTCTATTTGTACGGTTCCGTTTCATCTTTGATGATGACATACTTTGTATGCTATGACTAACCAAGTTTAAACATGAAGTACAAGCAAGACTAATAAATGTCCATTACTAGATCATAGTGATGGAATAATGCAAGGCTTAATAAATGAAAATTATCATTAAACATTTGTTTAAGTCTAGCTGTCAGTATAGCAAGTTGAATTTTGTTGATTTATGAAAAAACTTCTGCATCTTTTAATCTACAAAATCAGGTGTAAGGGTATGTAAATCATCTAATTAGAAAAACTCTGCCATAAACTAAATTAAAGCATCATACATCAAATTCTCAAATACAAAATGTACAGACATATCACTTTTCTGGATAACCTCATATACATTATCATTTAATCAAGTAAAGGCATTATATGTGCATATCAAATTCACTTACTTTTGTCTGGAAAGCAAATATTGTCAGTCCTAAAACTACAACCTGAAAATATAATATAGAGGATATTACCGATCGAATAAATAAATAGTTAAGTTAGTAATACAGAAAAGTAATCTGGGTAAAATAAAACAAGACAAATTTATGTGTTATCATACCAAACAAAATCTAAGGCAATATTCAAAAAATTTCTGCTCCATCTCATGACATATATTTCATGCTTCAAATAATTCACATATAAAATTACTCATTTTCAAGAAGATACATTAAAAGACCTTGAATTCTCTGACATATGCCAACATAAGATACATGGATGAACATTGACATCCTAAGTAGGTTAAAACTAACTCCCATAAAATACTAAGTTTTTACAATATAGATTTTATTCAAATAAAATTTCAATATACTATAATTTTAAATAACAGCTGTGCCAAGAGCACACTATTAAAGTCCATTAACTCTGGAATGAAACGCCAGAAACTTTTAAAATCACCGATCCCAACAACAGTGTTAAGTGTGTAGTATATTTGATTCGAGCATACTATAGATAGTGCATGACATAACTCAAGAATGATATAAGTGATGTCACCCAAATTCAAACTTGATCGGAGTTTTGTGTGTATAAGTTTCATAACATTTGGTTGAGGCAAACTTGAGAGGACGGAAACGAAAAATTCTGCAATTTTTTCATTTGTAAAGGTTCATAACTCCAGAACAGTAAAAGTAACACCACCCAAATTCGAACTTGATCTATATTTTGTGGTAATAAGCATTGTGTATAACATTTGGTTGAGGCAAACTAAAGTTAGAGAATGGAAACCAATTTTGGGACTTACGGACGTAAAGACGGACGGAAGGACAAGGGTAACACTTATGCCCCCTCCTATGACTGCGGGGGCATAATAAAATGCCTTCGTAATGCCTTTTATTTATCTGACGGTCAAAGTCCCATAACTCTGGAATGAAATGTTCAATTTTTTTTTAAATCAAACGGTGTGTTATGTTTACCAATTCCAACAATTGTGTTAAGTTGTCAGTAAATCAATCCAAACAAACTCGATTTATGGTACAAACTGTGATTTTTTTTCCTAAAATCTGACAATTAAAGTCCTATAACTCTGGAACAGAAAAACAGAAATTCAAAAATCGAAAGAGAGCTTGCTTTTATCAATCCCAACAATAATGTTAAGGTTTGAGGAAATCAATACAGGCATACTGGAGTTAAATGGATATTTGAAAAATTGTCTTATCAGACAGTTAAAGCAAGTAAGGATATGTGAAAAATTGTCTTAATTCAGACAGTCAAAGCAAGTAACTCAAAAATGAAAAGGAGCTTTCTTCCATCAATCCTAATAATATGTTAAAATTACATGATAATTGGTAAAAGCAAATTTGAGTTATCTTACAAAGTGTTGACGAACAGATTGACAAATGGACGGATGAACTGACAGACAAACAGATGGACGAACAGACAGACTAAATTGGTATACCATAATACGTCCTGTCTTCGACAGACATATAAAAATTGTTCTCCTTAGGAAAGCTCATAAATAAGGAATATTGATGTGAAAGATGCTGAAGAATTTGAGATTTACATGAACTTTTTTTTATGTTTTCACTCAATACAGTCATGAAGTCAGGTGACTCAATTTTCATATGGGTCTTCCATTTCTACCACTCACAAATGAATTAAAGTTTGGACCTTAACACGAAATTCAACATGAGACATTCTTGCATAAATTGAAGACCAAGAAGATTTATAAACAATCCAAGACTTGTCCAATAGAAAATATCCTTCCTATATAACTTGCACTTTGCCACTGCATTTATAACTTGACCTTGTTTTGGTAGAAAAAACGACCAACCAGCAAAAGAAAAGATGAAATGTAGTATCTGCACCTTACTCTAGTTAGGTCAGGGAATAACCCCTACTCTGTTAGTTGAGGTTACACATCTATGATGTTAGGTCAGGGAATAACCCCTACTCTGTTAGGTCAGGGAATAATCCCATCTCTGATAGGTCAGGGAATAACCCCTACTCTGTTAGGTCAGGGAATAACCCCTACTCTGTTAGGTCAGGGAATAACCCCTACTCTGTTAGTTGAGGTTATAACACCTACTCTGTTAGGTCAGGGAACAACCCCTACTCTGTTAGGTCAGGGAATAACCCCTACTCAGTTATTTAAGGGAATAACCCCTACTCTGATAGGTCAGGGAATAACCCCTACTCGGTAAGGTCAGGGAATAACCCCTACTCTGATAGGTCAGTGAATAATGCCTACTCGGATAGGTCAGGGAATAACCCCTACTCTGTTAGGTTAGGGATTAACCCCTACTCTGTTAGGTCAGGGAATAACCCCTTCTCTTAGATGAGGTTATAACACCTACTCTGTTAGGTCAGGGAATAACCCCTACTCTGTTAGGTCAGGGAATAACCCCTACTCAGTTAGTTGAGGGAATAACCCCTACTCTGATAGGTCAGGGAATAACCCCTACTCTGTTAGGTCAGGGAATAACCCCTACTCTGATAGGTCAGTGAATAACCCTACTCTGATAGGTCAGTGAATAACCCCTATTCTGATAGGTCAGTGAATAACCCCTACTCTGTTAGGTCAGGGAACAACCCCTACTCTGTTAGGTCAGGGAATAACCCCTACTCAGTTATTTGAGGGAATAACCCCTACTCTGATAGGTCAGGGAATAACCCCTACTCGGTAAGGTCAGGGAATAACCCCTACTCTGATAGGTCAGTGAATAACCCCTACTCGGATAGGTTAGGGAATAACCCCTACTCTGTTAGGTCAGGGAATAACCCCCATCTCTGATAGGTCAGGGAATAACCCCTACTCTGTTAGGTCAGGGAATAATCCCATCTCTGATAGGTCAGGGAATAACCCCTACTCTTGATAGGTCAGGGAATAACCCCTACTCTGTTAGTTGAGGTTATAACACCTACTCTGTTAGGTCAGGGAATAACCCCTACTCTGTTAGGTCAGGGAATAACCCCTACTCTGTTAGTTGAGGTTATAACACCTACTCTGTTAGGTCAGGGAATAACCCCTACTCTGTTAGGTCAGGGAATAACCCCTACTCTGTTAGTTGAGGTTATAACACCTACTCTGTTAGGTCAGGGAATAACCCCTACTCTGTTGGGTCAGGGAATAACCCCTACTCTGTTAGGTCAGGGAATAACCCCTACTCTGTTAGGTCAGGGAACTACACCTACTCTGTTAGGTCATGGAATAACCCCTACTCAGTTAGTTGAGGGAATAACCCCTACTCTGTTAGGTCAGGGAATAACCCCTACTCTGTTAGGTCAGGATATACTAAGTAACCCATATCTCTGATAGGTCAGGGAATAACCCCTACCCTGTTAGGTCAGGGAATAACCCCTTCTCTGTGAGGTCAGGGAATAACCCCCATCTCTGATAGGTCAGGGAATAACCCCTACTCTGTTAGGTCAGGGAATAACCCCCATCTCTGATAGGTCAGGGAATAACCCCTACTCTGTTAAGTCAGGGAATAACCCCCATCTCTGATAGGTCAGGGAATAACCCCTACTCTGTTAGGTCAGGGAATAACCCCTTCTCTGTTAGGTCAGGGAATAACCCCTACTCTGTGAGGTCAGGGAACAGCTATGTAAACCAATACAATTTATTACTTACTGCTGTGATGGCAGCTGCATACATAACTTCCTCTGCATGATAACGTCTGAAAACATAGATTATAAATAAATAATAATAATTACAGCTGCATTATATACGATGGCAAATTATATGAAACTGCAGTTATCTTAAGGTCATAAAGATGTATATAAATTGTAAATATTTTTATTTCCATGAAATTGATGTCATCTAGATCATGTCAAACTATATATATATCTCAATATCCACAAATAAGAGAGTTCATGTTGAAATGTCTTCCCTCCTCTTTGTATGCCAGAAAGATATGTACCCTATTACAATCATTCTATACCCCGTATATGTCTCTTCCCTATGACTCATACAACTTAAAAATCATCTGGATACAAGATATGGATTACCCAGTTCCTCTATCTATTGAAATTTGAAAACTTTATACAAAAAGTTTACACTGCTAGTGCTTGAGTGGCCATCTGTTTGGAAAACAAAAGACTTGCATCTTACAACATCTGTTGCAAAAATTAAATGACTACAACATTCCTGATGCATGTTTAATTCGAAGATCTGATGGTGATCATGTAACAGGGATGGTATAATACATTGAAGATTTGATGGTGGTCATGTAACAGGAGTGGTACAATACAATATATCAAGATCTGATGGTGGTCATGTAACAGGAGTGGTACAATACAAAGATCTGATGGTGGTCATATAACAGGAGTGGTACAATACAATATAACAGGATCTGATGGTGGTCATGTAACAGGAGTGGTACAACTCAAGGATCTCATGGTGGTCATGTAACAAGAGTGGTACAATACAATATAACAGGATCTGATGGTGGTCATGTAACAGGAGTGGTACAATTCAAAGATCTCTTGGTGGTCATGTAACAGGAGTGGTACAATTCAAAGATCTCTTGGTGGTCATGTAATAAGATGGTACAATACAATATAACAGGATCTGATGGTGGTCATGTAACAGGAGTGGTACAATACAATATAACAGGATCTGATGGTTGTCATGTAACAGGAGTGGTACAATACAAAAGATCTGATGGTGGTCATGTAACAGGAGTGGTACAATACAATATAACAAGATCTGATGGTGGTCATGTAACAGGAGTGGTAGAATACAGTTTTAACAAGATCTGATGGTAAATTATTTATTTTGTAAACAATATTTCCGTACTCCAGGTATACCTTACAAAAAATTTATTTTATTTACCTGTGTACGTTATTTTTATTTGGCGGCATTTTGTCCAAGGTTAAGGTTGTCTTTTTGATATTATTTTACATCTGACCCCCTTGTTTTATTAATTTTATAATTACATTGTGTCATAGATCAAATTTATTCGTTTAGTGTATGTTCACTTGTTTTTGTTAATATGTATTTTGATTGAGTTAAGACATTTCAGTTGATATTTTAGAGTGTGTCTTTTTATGTTGTGATTTTACACTATTGTTTCAGGTAGGGTGAAGGTTGGGGCCTATCAAAACGTTAAAACCTGCTGCATTTGTTTGCACCTGTCCTAAGTCAGAAACCTGATGTTCAGTGGTTGTCGTTTGTTGATGTGGTTCAAAAGTGTTTCTCGTTTTTTATATAGATTAGACGGTTTGTTTTCCTGTTTGAGGGTTTTACACTAGTCATTTTTGGGGCCCTTTATAGCTTGCTGTTCGGTGTGAGCCAAGGCTCCGTGATGAAGGCCGTACTTTGACCTATAATGGTTTACTTTTACAATTTGTGACTTGGATGGAGAGTTGTCTCATTGGCACTCGTACCACATCTTCTTATATCTATGTAACAGGAGTGGTACAATACAATATAACAAGATCTGATGGTGGTCATGTAACAGGAGTGGTACAATACCATATATCAAGATTTGATGGTGGTCATGTAACAGGAGTGGTACAATACAATATAACAAGTTTATACATGAATATGAAATTGTTACATAGAGATCCAAAGAAAAATGTACCAAATATTTGGTTATGGATTGAAATTGATCAATCCATATTCTCTTAAGAGTAAGGAAACAACAATTCAAGCATGCTTAGTACAAAACTCCAGGTATAAAGTTATAGGTTATAACTTACGCTGCCACAGTTCCCAGTAAAAAAGCTTCAAATAAAGTCTGAAAAGAAACAAATCTTATTTTCTAAATGGTAAACACGCAGGTAAATTTTAATTGGAAACCATGTAACAAAAAATAAAAAGAATAAAATCCAAAGAAAATGATATCTTAATTAAAACTTTCCCCAATAGAAGTCAGATACAGCAAAAATAAAGCTCAATAAAAGAACAGAGTTCCAATGTTCCCCGGGTTGCACATATTCTATATTTCCAAGGGCATAATTCTTTTTAAAAAAGTCGATCGGCCACCATTATTAAACTTGTCCTAGATATTGCTGGTATTAACCTATAGTATAAGTTTTATAAAAATCTGGCAAGAGTTGTACCCGTGAGAGCGCTAACAAGGCCATTTTCCATAAATTTAATATTTCCAAGGGGCATAACTCTTTTAAAAAAGTCGATCGGCCACCACCATACAATTTGACTGAGATATTGCTGATATTAACCTATAATATAAGTTTTATAAAAGTCTGGCAAGAATTGTACTCGTGAGAGCGCTAACAAGGCCATTTTCCATAAATTAAATAATTCCAAGGGGCATTACTCTTTTAAATAAATGTGGATTGTGTCCAAATGTGGACACAGATGATACCCCCGCTTGCATTTCATATAGTTATAAAGGGACATAACTGGAGAAAGGTAAAAGTGACGCTACCCAAATTTGAACTTGATCTGAGTTTTGTGGTAATAAGCGTTGTGTGTAAGTCTCATAACATTTGGTTGAGGCTAACTTAAGAAGAGAACAGAAACGAAAAAAATCAGCAATTTTTCTATTTGTAAACACGCATAACTCTAGAACGGTTGTGTATAAGTTTTATAACATTTGGTTGAGATAAATTAAAGTTAGAGAAAGGAAACGAAAAATTCAGCAATTTTTATGTTTATAAAGGGACATAACTCAAGAATGGTAAAAGTGACGCCACCGAATTTCGTACTTAATCTGTATTGTGCAGTAATAAGCATTGTGTATAAGTTTTATAACATTAAGTTGAGGCAAACTAAAGTTAGAGAATGGAAACTATAAATTTTGCAATTTTTCGATTTATAAAGGGGCATAACTCAATAATGGTTAAAGTGACACTACCCAAATTCAACTTGATCTGTGTTTTATCAGTGGAAGGCAAAATTAAACATTGCATTGTATAAAGCATTGATTGTAGTTGATTAAACTATAATCATGGACAAAGGAAGATAACTCCAATTTCAAAAATTACTTGAATAATGACTGATATTTTTGGAACAAAAAATGAAAAATTTAGCAATTTTTCCATTTGTAAAGGGGCATAACTCTAGAACAGTAAAATTCAAACTTGATCGGTGTATTGTGGTAATAAGCATTGTGTATAAGTTTCATAACATTTGGATGAGACAAACTTAAGTTAGAAAACGGAAATGAAAAATTTTGCAATTTTTCCATTTATAAAGGGACATAACTCTGGAACGGTTAAAGTGACGCCACCAAAATTCAAACTTGATCTGTGTTTTGTGGTAATAAACATTGTGTATAAGTTTGATAACATTTGGTTGAGGCAAACTTAAGTAAGAGAACGGAAACCAATTTTGGGACGTACGTACGTACAGACGGACAAGGGTAAAACTTAATGCCCCCTCCGATTCTGCGGGGGCATAAAAAAGTCCATCGGCCACCATAATAGAACCTGTCCGAGATATTGCTGATATTTACCGAGAGTATAAGTTTTATAAAAATCTGGCAAGAATTGTACCCGAGAGAGCGCTAACGAGGCCATTTTCCATAAATTTAATATTTAAAAAAGTCGATCCGCCACCATTATAGAACTTGTCCAAGATATTGCTACAGTATGATGTAATATTAATCTCAGAATATCTTGTTTAGTCTTATATTCTGAATATGCATGAATATTTGCCACTGGACTTCTGCAGACATCAATCCATTTTTACTGATTACTCTTACATGTCTACATGTTACAGCTGTTTTGTGCTATTTGGTTGGGTTGTTCTCTCTTTGACACATTCCCTGTTTCCTTTTCTATTCTATAAGTTAAGTTACAGCTATGACTGTAGAGCTTTTTACTAAGGTCATTTTCTTATTTGTTACATAGTTTAGTCACTTTGTTTACTTACAAATAATCCGAGAAAGATCATATTGAGTGGAAAACTTCTACGTACTCCTTCACAGCAAGCCAACACAATTAAAATGATAAATGTCATCACACTGTAATATAAATATGTCAGAGATAATTTAATAAACATTTATTTTTATAAATAAGAGGGGTTGTGAGTTAAACATCGTTGAAACAGTAACAAAACTAAAAAAAAACCAACAAATCAACAATTGGCAAATGTTGGTAGCATTAATTTCCTGGTCTCTTTTTAACTAAAACAAAATTCTAGACTCATGGTGATATTAATCTTGTGACACATTTTGGGAACAGTAAGAGTACTGTGTTAACTAAGCTTGTTAGTTTGCTGAATCAATGATGTTTGTCCCTGTCGAGGCAAAAATAATACAAGTAGTTTCAATTGGAACTTATCAGCCTTAATCTTAATACAGTTATTCTTGCCATAAAGCAATTTTGACAATCATACCATATATACCTGTTTCTGCTATAAAATGTATAATTTTTGTAAGAATTTAGACAGGCTAATAGGTAGCCAGTAACAAACAAACAAAAAATAAATGGGGAATGTGTCCATGGGACACAGATGATGCCCCCGCTTGTATATAACATTATAAAGGGACATAACTCAAATACAGTAAAAGTGACACTACCCAAATTTGTACTTGATCTGAGTTTTGTGGTAATTAGCATTGTGTATAAGTTTCATAACAATTGGTTGAGGCAAACTTAAGTAAGAGAACAGAAACAAAAAAATTCAGCAATTTTCAATTTGTAAAGGGACATAACTCTAGAATGGTAAAAGTGATGCCACCAAAAATTCAAACTTGATCTGTGTTTTGTGATAATAAGCTTTGTGTATAAGATTCATAACATTTGGTTGAGGCAAACTAAATAAGGGAACAGAAATGAAAAAATTCAGCAATTTTGCCCCTTGTATAACTCTACAACGGTAAAAACAATTCAGGTTGTGGAATAACAGGTTTGGCAGTATTTATTTTCTTAAAGGGACAATCACTGCTTGGCAGCAGAAAAATGCAAAATATTAAAATAACTTACAAAGCAACGATCCATAACCATATGTTTGCTCTAGAATAATCTCGAACTTCTGGTCTGAAAAGCATGAACTAACGTCTTAAAATATAAAATTATCACATCTTTTAAAGCACATGGTACTAATAATATAAGAAAACAACATATAATCAAGTTTCTAATTTCTTATAGAAATATTACACCGAGGTACAGGGTATCATCAGTGGCGACCATTTTGGAAGACATGAACTAAAAATAAAGCAGCATGAACCCATTTAAAACCCCAGGTGTATCTGACACTCTGGAAGGGTCAACAGTTCCTTCTACACTTATGCATGTGCCACCCACTGAATTAATCTTGTTAAAATTTGTTTCATGTTTATAACAGATGAAGATTATGAGGGACTATACAGTTGAGGATGGATAAATGTCACTAAGACTGTCTTCCCTATGATTATGAGGGACTATACAGTTGAGGATGGGTAAATGTCTGTTAGACTGTCTTCCCTATGATTATGAGGGACTATACAGTTGAGGATGGGTGAACGTCTCTTAGACTGTCTTTCCTATGATTATGAGGGACTATACAGTTGAGGATGGATAAATGTCTCTTAGACTGTCTTCCCTATGATTATGAGTGACTATACAGTTGAGGATGGGTGAATGTCTCTTAGACTGTCTTCCCTATGATTATGAGGGACTATACAGTTGATGATGGGTAAATGTCTCTTAGACTGTCTTCCCTATGATTATGAGGGACTATACAGTTAAGGATGGATAAATGTCTCTTAGACTGTCTTCCCTATGATTATGTCTCGTAGACTGTCTTCCCTATGATTATGAGGGACTATACAGTTGAGGATGGATAAATGTCTCTTAGACTGTCTTCCCTATGATTATGAGTGACTATACAGTTGAGGATGGGTGAATGTCTCTTAGACTGTCTTCCCTATGATTATGAGTGACTATACAGTTGAGGATGGGTGACTGTCTCTTAGACTGTCTTCCCTATGATTATGAGTGACTATACAGTTGAGGATGGGTGAATGTCTCTTAGACTGTCTTTCCTATTATTATGAGGGACTATACAGGTGAGGATGGATAAATGTCTCTTAGACTGTCTTCCCTATGATTATGAGGGACAATACAGTTAAGGATGGGTGAATGTCTGTTAGACTGTCTTCCCTATGATTATGAGGGACTATACAGTTGAGGATGGATAAATGTCTGTTAGACTGTCTTCCCTATGATTATGAGGGACTATACAGTTGAGGATGGGTGAATGTCTGTTAGACTGTCTTCCCTATGATTATAAGTGACTATACAGTTGAGGGACTATACAGTTGAGGATGGGTGAATGTCTCTTAGACTGTCTTCCCTATGATTATGAGGGACTATACAGTTGATGATGGGTGAATGTCTGTTAGACTGTCTTCCCTATGATTATGAGTGACTATACAGTTGAGGACAGAGATGGGTACCATTACTTTCAATGTAATTGATTAAATTAAATTAATGATTACATCATTTCTCAAAGTAGCTGATTAAATTAATGATTACATTGGCAAGAAATCATGATTACATCTGATTACAATGAATTTCAAAATAACACATTTGAATGATGTTAATAAATAAACATTACAACTGCAGCATGTTTTGAGAAAGGATTTTATTTGATAAAACTTTTCTCCATTAGGAAATAAATGCCTGTTAACTAAGCCAGGAATATGACAGTTGTTATCCATTCATTTGATGTGTTGAGTACAGTATTTTGTTATTTCACTTTTTAATATGTTATGAAATGATAACTTTCAAATTTATATACCACTAAGATTCACAACATATAAACATGAACATGTTGTCACTGGTTATGGCCCTTTACACTTTACCATTATATAATTATTATTCCTTGAAATATTTGACTTCTATTGAATAAAGGTTTCTAAAGAGGCTTGGCTAATATCTTTCTGACATCTTACAGATTTTATATGTATTTCAGTTACCAGTCAAAAACACATCTAAAAATTGTAATAGTATTGTTTAATGATCATTACATTTTACGTGTACAATAATCACAATATCAACAAAAGGCTTATAATTCAGGTTTAAAAAAGTATAACATGAGTAAAACAATCATCAAGTACACATCTTTTAATTGTGAATATATGTATAACACTTTTTATTTAGGCTAACAATGACTTTCAATATTGTAACAGTTTATTTTTTAAAGAAGTAAATAAATCAATTAAGCCTAAACTAATACTAGCATGAATTATTTACAATAAAAACCTATGATCAATGAAATAGTTATTCCTTAAAAAAACTTATCAAACTAAAACAGAAGTCAATATTTTCCTTTCTTTTTGATAAAAAAAACCCCCCAGAATGTTAAGCCTTTCACCAATTCACTTCAAATCTGAATTATATCAAAAATGTAGATTTTTGAATTCTATAAATTTGTTATAATATTGATCATATTTCTATTAATTTATTCAATAATAAAATGCTTCGCTGGGGCGCAGCTTGATACGACCGCAGAGGTCGAACCCTGAACAGTTGGGGCAAGTATGGACACAAAATTCAAGCTTGATACAGCTATGACTTTGGATTGTCATTAAATATTTGACACAGCATAGGTTTCTGACACAGGATGAATGTGGTGTAAGAACTGGAAAAAATTTAATTTACCTATTATGGTGGAATATCCATAAACTAAATTGTTTGTTAATTTCAATATATCAAAGAATATGTAGAATTCAATGTTTGATGTAATGTAATAAAGTTGAAATTTGGACCGTTTTTGTTCAATGTGGACCAATTTGGTAACATGTATAAATAATCAAAAATCTAAATACATGGGAGCCCATTTAAATACATCATAAAGGTATTAAAATAGAAAGTGACATCATAGTCATGGCTAAAAATAAACAAAAATCCTTAATCAGCAACATTTAAAGTAATATCTAAAAATAAAATTCCTTTGTAACCATAAAAGCCCATTTAAATACATCATAAAGATATTAAAATAGAAAATGACATCATAGTCATGGCTAAACATAGCAAAAAACCCTTAATCAGCATCATTTAACAGTAATATCTAAAAATGGAAATTACATCATAAAGGTATTAAAATAGAAAATGACATCATAGTCATGGCTAAAAATAAACAAAATCCTTAATCAGCATCAGCAACATTTTATAGTAATATCTAAAAATAAAATTCCTTTGTAACCATAAAAGCCCATTTAAATACATCATAACAGATATTAAAATAGAAAATGACATCATAGTCATGGCTAAACATAGCAAAAACCTTAATCAGCATCATTTAACAGTAATATCTAAAAATAAAAATTTCTTTGCAACCATAAAAGTGAAATAGAAAATGACATCATAATCATAGCTAAAAATAAACAAAAAATTTTTTTTATTGGCAAATTTTAAATGGAGTTTATTATACTAAAACAATAAATTTGCAACCATAAACATGATAAAACCCCATTTAAACACATCATAAAAGTATTAAATAATTCAACTACATCATAAGGCTATAAAAATAGAAATGACTTCATAGTCAAGGCTAAAGGTAAACAAAAAACCTTCATCAGCAAAATTTTATATTGGCAAATTTCCAATGAAGTTTATTACACTAAAATTGTTGGCAAATTTCCAATGCATTTATTAACAATAAAGTTATTGGCAAATTTCCAATTTACATAATTTAAAAGCAGTGTAGATGAGATATTTAAATGAGTTTGAATTACCAACCTTACACTGCTTTTAAATAATGTTCTTTACTCAATTATTTGTCTATTAAAATGGAAACCCTTGTTTTTTTAACCTTTTTTCCCCTTATTCCTTAAACATTAGAGCCATAACCCCCCCCAAAGCCAATTATTACTTTCCAATGTAACCTAAATTTCCAATATACATAATTTTAAATTTCAGTTCCTCATGATATATAACCGTATCATTATTATTTTCTTTCATATATAAATCTGAAACAACCATCTTTAAATGGAAAATTTTAAAGAAAAAAAAAGAAAAAAAAAAATCCTACCCCCCACACATTTTTTCAACCCCCTTTTGATTCATCATCCCCCACCTCAATCACAACCTTCAATTTGTGGTATGGTACATTGCAATACAATTTCACAGAGATCCATACACTTGAACACAAGTTTTTGTTGCAAACTAAAAAAATCCTTATTTTCGACCAATATTTGGCCCCTTATTCATAAATGTTTGAGCAATTAACCCCAAAACTCAATTCCTACTTTCTCTTCGTGATAAAAAATAACTAACTTAAAATGTAAATTTTAATCAAAAAAAAAAGGAAAAAAAAAATTACCCCTTTTTTGACCCCCGCCCCCCTTATGATTCATCACCCCCATCCCCTTTCCCCCCAAACCAAGCTCAATAACAGCCTTGCCTTTGTGGTATGGTACCTTGTAATACAATTTTAGAGAGATCCATACACTTGAACACAAGTTATTGTCTAGAAACTAAAAAATGCTTATTTTAAACCCCTTTTTAGGCCCCTTATTACTAAACGTTTTGGGCAATTACCACAACACTCAATTCCAGCTTTCCCTTTGTGAAATGGAACCTTGTAGTAAAATTTCAGAAAGATCCATACACTTACACACAAGTTATTGTCCTGAAACTAGAAAAATGCTTGTTTTTTGCCCCCTTTTGGCCCCTTATTCCTAAAATTTTGAGGAAATTAACCCCAAAATCAATCCCAGCATTGACCCTTTGTGATATGGAATCTTGTGGTACAATGTCAAAGAGATCCATATGCTAACACACAAGTTATGTCTGGAAGTTACAAAAATGCTTATTTTCGGCCCCTTTTTGGCCCCTAATTCCTTAACTGTTGGTACCATAACCCCTAAAATCAATCCCCACCTTCCTATTGTGGTATTGAACCTTATGGTAAAATTTCATAGAGATCCATTCACTTAAACTAAAGTTAGAGTGCGAAAACCATTGTGTATTCGGACGACGACGCCGGACGACGACGACGACGACGACGCCAACGTCATACCAATATACGACCTCAAAATTTTTTTGCGGTCGTATAAAAATTAAACTCAGGATTTTAATTTGTTCTCATTAACCTCCAATAAATCTAATGAATCAAACATATTACATTTTAATCATCCTTATCTTGTGATGTGTCAAAAAAGTTTGAAGTTGTGTTTGTATGTTAAAATATTACAGCTGTACAACTTAGAAATAATCACACAATTTGAGATTTTTTTCATTGTAATAAAAAAGTAATCAGGATGACAAGGTATTTTGAAATGTAATTGATTAAATCAAATTACATGTAATGAGATTTTTTGCTGATTAATGATTACAATGATTACTTGAAAAATTGTAATCGATTACAGCTGATTAATGATTACAGTTACAATTACCCCAAGTCTGCCTATGATTATGAGGGACTATACAGTTGAGGATTAATGAATGTCACTTAGACTGTCTTCCCTATGATTATGAGGGACTATACAGGTGAGGTTGGATAAATGTCTCTTAGACTGTCTTCCCTATGATTATGAGTGACTATACAGTTGAGGATGGGTAAATGTCTCTTAGACTGTCTTCCCTATGATTATGAGGGACTATACAGTTGAGGATGGGTAAATGTCTCTTAGACTGTCTTCCCTATGATTATGAGGGACTATACAATTGAGGATGGGTGAATGTCTCTTAGACTGTCTTCCCTATGATTATGAGAGACTATACAGTTGAGGATGGGTAAATGTCTCTTAGACTGTCTTCCCTATGATTATGAGGGACTATACAGTTGAGGACGGGTGAATGTCTCTTAGACTGTCTTCCCTATGATTATGAGGGACTATACAGTTGAGAGACTTTACAGTTGAGGATGGGTGAATGTCTCTTAGACTGTCTTCCTTATGATTATGAGGGACTATACAGGTGAGGATGGATAAATGTCTCTTAGACTGTCTTCCCTATGATTATGAGGGACTCTACAGTTGAGGATGGGTGACTGTCTCTTAGACTGTCTTCCCTATGATTATGAGGGACTATACAGTTGCGGATGGGTGACTGTCTCTTAGACTGTCTTCCCTATGATTATGAGGGACTATACAGTTGAGGATGGATAAATGTCTCTTAGACTGTCTTTCCTATGATTATGAGGGACTATACAGTTGAGGATGGGTGAATCTCTCTTAGAGTGTCTTCCCTATGATTATGAGTGACTATACATGTGAGGATGGGTGAATGTCACTTAGACTGTCTTCCCTATGATTATGAGGGATTATAAAGTTGAGGCTAGGTGAATGTCTCTTAGTCTGTCTTCCCTAAGTCATTACTAACTTTATAGATCATCAGTTCATGTAAAATCTCTGAGACTTTTACCTGACCAATTGTGAAAGTTTGAAATGAAAAATTATTTTTCAGGATAAAGAATTGACAAAATCAGTATAGAACATGTAGAAACAGCACAGAAATTGCAAATTTAAAAAATTTCTAAATACCGGTACTTCACAAAAATCTAATACATAGCAACATGAACCTTTTACAAAAAAAGCAAAGTGGTAAACTCAAGTGCTCCATACTGGTAGGAAGTTCATTCTCCACTAATGGCCCTGTCATGTCACTCATAACCAGCAAAAACAACGGTGATCATGGTGATCAGTCACATTATTAAATAAAAAAAAATTAACAAAAGAGGATTATAATAAAACATATCATTATGAAACAAACTTACATATACAAAAATATAGCCATTATTGCCATAGTAAACATAATCTGTGTCAACAGTATACCATACACCTTTCGTATAAAACCTGCAATATATTAATATCAAATTAACAATCACATTATTCATCAGTTACTAAGTACTCATAAAATTGTTATTGCCAATTTGTATGCAGTCAAATTAGGTCCAATACCTCTATAAACCTGGCAGTCCAAGATTGATCCATTGTTTCTCCCTATGTAACAGCTCTTTTTATTATTTTATAACAGAGTAATAGGCATTGTTTTATTTGCAAAATTATATCAAGAAACTCTAATAAGGTCTTGAAGTTTTACTGCTTTTTAAAAAGAAATCTCTTCATAAGAGTACATTTTTGGCTTCAATCTAAATCAGTACATTTTGTATATATTGTCAAAACACGATGCTTTTGGGCATTTTTGGGACCTAAAAGCTTGAGGAAACACTTGGCCGCAACCTAGGATCCAAAATGTTCTGTAACCAAGAGTTGCCAATGATGATATTGAATTGAAAAACTTTCTGGATCTTGGGTGGCGGCCAAAGTAAATTATGCTAAAAACGGTTAACATGGTTAAGAATTATTGAAAATTTGACCAAAACTGACATTAAACTCAAATAATGCATACTTAAAAGAGTCAATACTTTGTCATTCTTAATATGATGTGCCAAAATGAAGTTATTTTGTATTAATAGTAATATCATAACTATTTCTATTTGAAATTTGTAGTATTATGGCCTGATTAAAAAAAAACATCATAATCTTTGGGCCAACTTTAACCCTTCGTGAACTTACTCCTTTATCAATAGGGTACAAGAAACATGAGTTCCCTGAGTTCTCAAACAGCTTTTATTGTGAGATTCAATATCAATAATACATCTAAAATTTGTAATAGGATTTATGATTTTGATGGAAGAAACTCTTTCATGGACCTCTTTACAGAGAGCAAAAACATTCCTCTCCTGGAGAACCCTTTAAAGACAGATTTTAGTACAGTACATACATGTAAAATAGCCAATGTATGTACAGAATGTTGAAAAAGATGTCTCCTTCAATTTCTCACAGTTCCATTATGAAATATACATATTGCACAATATTGGTTTCCAATATTTTATCGCAAAATGTAGCCTTTGAGTTTGGCCCCCAGTGAGAGGGATATTTAAGAATGAGATTATTGTATTTTGCTTCCTGTCTTTCCATCTTAGCATATTATCATTACATTTACATAATAATATTTCTTTTGATACAAAGTAGTTAAATTAGAGGCCCAAAAATGTCTGACTGGTTTATGTGGCAAAAACATACCTTTATAACATTAACATTAAAATTAGATTTTAGATTAGAGTCAAACAATTTATTTACATACTCTTCTATGCTATCCCTCAGGTGCTCAGGTGGGCCCTCCCCAAAATCAATGGGCTGTAATCATAACATTAACAACAAATGACCTGATTAGTAGGTCCCAATTTACTTGTTTATAGGTTGGCTGTTTACAGTTTCTTTTTATCCAAAATTGTTTCCAAGATAATCAAGATCTCTAAAAGTTAATAAAAATCATTTTTAACCCCTTCGCCCCCCAATCCCGTCTATAGTCGTGATTACAACCGCCATTCTTTGATGGCCCGTATGACCCTCCATACTTTTTTAGAACTGCCCCACCTAAACTGTGATGACAGCAGGGAGTTCAACCATGCAATTTATGGTCCATAAACTCTTCCCAGATGTGTTTTTTATGAAAATATTATAACCTTAATGCCCTTTTGACAGTTCATAATCAGAAAAATGTGAAAAGTAGCCAAAATCAGGTGGGGTATGGGGGTCATTTGATGGCCACTACATTAATGGTATGGGCTGTAGGTATTAACTATTATCCTAAATATATGCATAGGTGGTACAGGAACACAAGGAGGTATAATACGGCCAAAAAAAATCTGGTCTGTAAAATTTAGGTCACTGTTTTGTCAAAAATCTGTAAAAACGGACATTTAGGCAGACCTGGCTTGCCAATAGGAATTCCCCAGCAAGACACTCAAGTCACATTTACTTCCAGTCAGTATAGATGGACTGCTGTAAATACAAGGTAATAATTAAATGACAAAGAAACACAGTTTGGTCAATGTTCACCTCTAGATCTTAAGGTCATATTAAAATCGAATAAAATGCTCCGCAGGGCGCAGCTTGATACGACCGCAGAGGTCGAACCCTGAACAGTTGGGGCAAGTATGGACACAACATTCAAGCTTGATACAGCTCTGAATTTGGATTGTGATTAAATATTTGACACAGCATAGGTTTCTGACACAGAATGAATGTGGTCTAAAAACTTACAAATTTTAAATTGGACATTCACCTATTATGGTCCAATATCCAAAATCTAAATACATGGTTAGATTCAGCATATCAAAGAACCCCAAGAATTCAATTTTTGATGAAATCAAACAAAGTTTAATTTTGGACCCTTTTGACCTCAATGTGGACAAAGTTGATAACGGGGCCCAAAAATCAAAAATCTAAATACATGGTTAGATTCAGCATATCAAAGAACCCCATATATTCAATTTTTGTTGAAATCAAACAAAGTTTAATTTTGGACCCCTGATTTGGACCAACTTGAAAACTGGGCCCATAATCAAAAATCTAAGTACATGCTTAGATTCAGCATATCAAAGAACCCTAAAAATTCAATTTTTGTTAAAATCAAACTAAGTTTAATTTTGGACCCTTTGGCCCTTAATGTAGACCAATTTGAAAATGGAACCAAAAATTAAGAATCTAAATACACGGTTAGATTCGGCATATCAAAGAACCCCATGCAATAATTCAATTTTTGATGAAATCAAACAAAGTTAAATTTTGGACCCTTTGGACCTCAATGTGGACCAATTTAAAAACGGGGCCCAAAATCCAAAAACTTAATACACGGTTAGATTCAGCATATTAAAGAAACCCAAGAATTCAAGAATAAAACCCCATTGAAATTGATCAAGAAATAAGCAATTTATACGAAGTATCTTCTTTTGCACAATACTGTGCAATTGAATATTTCTTGCTATTGCGCAATACTGTACAATTGACAATATCTTGCTATTGCGCAATATTGTGCTATTGGATATTTCTTGCTATTGCGCAATACTGTGCAATTGAAGATTTCTTGCTATTGCGCAATACTGTGCAATTGAAGATTTCTTGCTATTGCACAATACTTATTATATAATAATTTACACATCCTGTTTGGCAGTCAAAGATATAACTCTATAGGGTTATTACAGAAAATAACTTGCGTGTGTTATTACAGATACTTTCATGAGTTGTCTACTCTTTATTCCTTAAATTTTCTAAATCTGTAATAACATATGTTTGTTATTTGTAAAATTATTTATTTTATAGTGGGCTCTAGGGAACTCTAGAGACTTTGCGCAGAAACTAAATGCATAGCCTTGATAACTAATTTTTTAATTAAATTAATTCATTTTTGATTAACCATGGTAAATCAATGAGACGAGGCTATTAAGGGATAAACTTAGCTGTGATAACAAGGCTAGGTTATTAAAGGAATGTAACTTATTATATAAGACACTTGGGAATTACTGAGAAACTTGCGCAGAACCTCATTACATGCTCTGGTCATTATTTCTTACAATAAATTAAAATACATTGTAATTAAGCATGATGTATGTCTGAGCAAATGCTTTGAAGTGATATAGAGAAGCTGTGATAACACCCTTTAGTTATTACAGGCGTATTTTTTCTGTAATAACATATAGGTGTACTATGCAAAATTGGCAAACTATGAACTGTTATATCTTTCAATAGTTAAGTATATATATAGACAAAAGTAATATCAATAGAACTTTTATACATTTTAACTAAACTAATGATGTATATTGTCCCTTTGAAACATGTAACATACATATGTTATCACAGTTCTTTGATTTTTTAGTCCACAATAACAAATGTATGTTATTTTTCTGTAATAACCCTATAGAGTTATATCCCTGACTGTTTGGTGTGTATCTCCTTCCATATCATTATTATTTGCTTTTAAATATAAATCAGAAATAACCAACTTAAAATGGAAAATTTAAAAAAAAAAAAAAAGGAAAAATAGAAAAAAAAAGAAAAAAAAAAAAAACCCCTCCCCCCAAATTTTTTGAACCCCCTTATGATTCATCACCCCCAAACTCAATCCCAGCCTTCCCTTTGTGGTATGGTACCTTGCAGTACAATTTCAGAGAGATCCATACACTTGAACACAAGTTATTGTCTTGAAACTAGAAAAATGCTTATTTTTGGCCCCTTTTTGGCCCCCAATTCCTAAACGTTTCAGGCAATTACCCCCGAACTCAATTCCAGCTTTCCCTTTGTGATATGAAACCTTGTAGTACAATTTCAGAAATATCCAAACACTTACACACAAGTTATTGTCATGAAACTAGAAAAATGCTTGTTTTTTGCCCCTTTTTTGGCCCCTAATTCCTAACATGGTGAGGCAATTACCCCCAAAATCAATTAAAGCCTTCCCTTTGTGATATGGAACCTTATGGTACAATGTCAGAGAGATCCATACACTTACACACAAGTTATTGTCTGAAAGTTACAAAAATGCTTATTTTTGGCCCCTTTTTCCTTAACTGTTGGTACCATAACCCCCAAAATCAATCCCAACCTTCCTTTCGTGGTATTGAACCTTATGGTAAAATTTCATGGAGATCCATTCACTTAAACTAAAGTTAGAGTGCGAAAACCAATGTGTCTTCGGACAACGCCAGACGACGACGACGACGCCAACGTCATACCAATATACGACCAAAAAAATTTTAATTTTTGCGGTCGTATAAAAATTGAATATATGGGGTTCTTTGATATGCTGAATCTAACCATGTATTTAGATTTTTGGGCCCCGTTATCAACTTTGTCCACATTGAGGTCAAAAGGGTCCAACTTTGTTTGATTTCATCAAAAATTGAATTCTTGGGGTTCTTTGATAAGCTGAATCTAACCATGTATTTAGATTTTGGATATTGGACCATAATAGGTGAATGTCCAATTTAAAATTTTTAAGTTCTTAGACCACATTCATTCTGTGTCAGAAACCTATGCTGTGTCAAATATTTAATCACAATCCAAATTCAAAGCTGTATCAAGCTTGAATGTTGTGTCCATACTTGCCCCAACTGTTCAGGGTTCGACCTCTGTGGTCGTATCAAGCTGCGCCCTGCGGAGCATTTTATTTTGCTTATTTTGATGAAATTGAACCAAAGTGACTGCTATATAGTGAAATGTTATTTCTTTATTTTTCTTTTACAAATGTTTAAAACAAAAAAATCATAATTTGTAGCTCATGCCCATTTAATGATTGATTGTTGGTTGCTTAACATCTTGTTGCAAATTATTATTTCATGCATGTTCAGGATGATGCCCCTTAAAAACTTACAACAGTTTTTAAGATATTATACAATTATTTGCATGTGACCTCTTTTTTCTATTTTTAACCCTGGCAGTAATATAATCCACAAACTTATATCTAAACACACTTAGATTCATACATGTCAAGTTTAGTTAAATATTGGTTCCACAGTTTTTGTTTAAATATTGATGCCCTATGGTCTACTAAGTTACTCAATTTAAATCACAGATTGTTGTATACAGATATCTATTGTCACACTATTTTCTATGTCAATCGGTGTTTTACATAGTGTAAAACTAAAATAAACTGCTTCGCTGAGCGCAGCTGGATACGCCCGCAGAGGTCCAACCCTGAACAGTTGGGGCAAAAATGGACACAATATTCAAGCTTGATACAGGTCTGAATTTGGATTGTAATTAAATATTTGACATATTATAGGTTTCTGAATAAATGTAGTCAAAGAAGTTGAATTTATATTCAATTAAACATTTCTTGCTGTTGTGCAATACACTGTGCTGTTGCGCAATACTTAGTAAATCTGTTGTCAGACTATCAACAAATAAAGTTCAATTAATTCTCAATGTCATATTAGAAATTTATGAAAATGTAAAGGGAACTTACATCAATAGATATAAACAATTCACCAAAGTTTCATGAGAATTGCTGACAGCATTTTTGAGTTATTGTCCGAAAACTGGAAAATCCCCCCTTTTTTAATGAATAAAACCCCATAACTCAAAAATGATAAATGAAAAATTTATAAAATTCTAAACAGAGCTTACATCAATAGATATAAACATTTCGCCAATATTTCAAAAGAACTGCTGAAGTTATTGTCCGAAAACTGGAAAATCCCCCCTTTTTTAATGAATAAAACCCCATAACTTTGAAATGATAAATGAAAAATGTATAAAATTCTATACGGAGCTCACATCAATAGATATAAACAATTCACCAAAGTTTCATAAGAACTGCTGAAAGCATTTTTGATTTTTTGTCCAAAAACTGGAAAATCCCCCTTTTTTATGAATAAAACCCTGTAACTCGGAAATGTAAAGTCTAAAATATATAAAAATCGAAAGGGAGCTCATGTCAATAGATATGAACAATTCATCACAATTTCTTGCAAGTTGGTGAAAGCATTCTTGAGTTATTGTCCGAAAACTGGAAAATCCCCTTTTTTTTAATGAATAAAACCCCATAACTCGGAAACTTAAACTCTAAAATTTATAAAAAATAGAAGTCTGGACAATTGCTTGATTTTAGAAAGATGGCATGACGGACAAGGGTAACACTATATGTCTAGGTTACTTAGTAGCATAATCATTATAAACACACTGAAGGAGGAGGTACATGTATGTGACCACTAAACTTCCAAAGGAATTAATTCCCTAAATCCCATTACATCTCTCATCAGTATCAAAATATTCACTGTTCATACCCTTTCTGATGGCCTCTTCTCCAAATGATCCTTCCTGAAATGTGTCATCATGGGGAGAAAATCCTGTCTCTGCATCCTGATACATCTTTTAGTTTTTATCTGCTAGTTCTTGTAGATCTGTAAATAGAACACAATAATAACACCTAGCTGTTATATTAAATACATGTAAATATCAAAATCAGATGTGTTGTGAATGCCAATGAGACAACTATCCACCACTGAATAATTTGACAAGCATGTAAATAAACAACTATAGGGGACCATACTGCCTTCAAAAATGAGTAAATTCCATACCATGGGGTACAAGTTATCAAAATGTGAAACAATTCAAAAGTAAACCAACAGCCTCATTTATGCAAATCAATAAACAACTAGGGAAAGGGCTTTAACTGAACAAGGAGAAAAGCTAAAATCGTGAAAATCGAACTTGAACTGTAACTTGTCATGATGAAACAATACACCAAATATCAAATCTATATCTTCAAGCATGAAGAAAAAAAGTCTGGAAAACTGATTTGCCGGACTGACGGATGGACAGACAGACGGACGGACGGACAGACAGACGGACAGAGTGCAAACCTAAAGTCCCCTTCGACTTCATCGGTAGGGGACTAAATTTAAATGGGGAATGTGTCTATGGGACACAGATGATGCCCCTGCTTGCATATAACGTTATAAAGGGAAATAACTCAAGAACTATAAAAGTGACGCTACCCCAATTTGTACTTGATCTGAGTTTTGTGGTAATAAGCATTGTTTATAAGTTTCATAACATTTAGTTGAGGCAAACTTAAGTTAAAGAATGGAAATGAAAAATTCAGCAATTTTTCCATTTGTAAAGGGGCATAACTCTAGAACGGTAAAAGTGATGCCACCAAAATTCACACTTGATCTGTGTTTTGTGGTAATTAGCATTGTGCATAAGTTTCATATTTTTTGGTTGAGGCAAACTAAAGTAAGAGAACAGAAACGAATATTTCAGCAATTTTTCCATTTGTAAGTGTCGCCACCAAAATTCAAATTTGATCTGTGTATTAGGTAATAAGCATTGTGTATAAGTTTCATAACATTTGGTTGAGGCAAACTAAAGTTAGAGAATGGAAACGAAAAATTCAGCAATTTTTCCATTTGTAAAGGGCATAACTATAGAATGGTTAAAGTGATGCCAACAAAATTCACACTTGATCTGTGTTTTGTGGTAATAAGCATTGTGTTTAAGTTTCATAACATTTGGTTGAGGCAAACTAAAGTTAGAGAACGGAAACGAAAAATTCAGCAATTTTTCCATTTGTAAAGGGGCATAACTCTAGAACGGTAAAAGTGAGGCCACCAGAATTCAAACTTGATCTGTGTTTTGTAGTAATAAGCATTTTGTATAAGTTTCATAACCTTTGGTCTAGACAAACTAAAGTTAGAGAACGAAATCCAATTTTGGGACGTACGTACAGACGAACAAGGGCAAAACTTAATGCCCCCTCCACTACGGCGGGGGCATAAATTGTTGATGCTAAATTTGCTTTCGTGTTACTTAATATTAGTCTTCTTGTAACTAATTTTAAAATTGCTAATTAATTCAAAGTCAATGGGCCATGGCCTAGGGGCAGGGCCTCAAAATTGTCGTCAAACTGATATGTACTGATAGTAATGCATCTTCATACAAAATATCAATGATCTGCAGATCTATCACAAGTAGTTCCTTTCAAACTAACTTAAGCAGAAAACGCCGTCTCCGCAGCCAGAACTTTCGTCGCAAGTGGACAATAAAATGCTCCGCTGGGCGCAGCTTGATACGACCGCAGAGGTCGAACCCTGAACAGTTGGGGCAAGTATGGACACAACATTCAAGCTTGATACAGCTCTGAATTTGGATTGTGATTAAATATTTGACACAGCATAGGTTTCTGACACAGAATGAATGTTGTCTAAGAACTTAAATTTTTTTAATTTACCTATTATGGTCCAATATCCAAAATCTAAATACATGGTTAGATTCAGCATATCAAAGAATCCAAAGAATTCAATTTTTGATGAAATCAAACAAAGTTTAATTTTGGACCCTTTGGACCTTAATGTAGACCAATTTGAAAACTGGACCCAAAATTAAAAATCTAAATGCACAGTCAGATTTGGCATAACAAATAAATAAATGTGGTCAAAGATTTTACAAATCTAATGCGCCATACTGTGCAATTAAAGATTACTTCTTGAAATTTTTCAATATTTGAAATTTGAAAAAAAAAAATATTTGAAGAATAATTCTTTTTAATTTCTGAAATCTGAAATGAGAAAAAATTGACCCCCCACAATTTCTTTTTACCCCCATAAAAAAGATTTTTTAAAATAATTACCCATTTAAATTTACCAAAGTGCTAACTTAATCTATTTTATAATAGAATTTAAAGTATGGTGTCAAATCTTTCATATGGATTTTTTTGTAAAAAAAAAAAGATGCAACATTTGCAGATATTTTCACTGGTCTTTCTTTATAAATATGCATTTTTTTTTAAATAATTTAAAAGCAGTGTAAGGGAAGTAATCAAAAGTTGTATGTGGATTACCTCCCTTACACTGTTTTAAATTGTCTTAATTGTTATTAACCATTACTTAATACATAATTTAAAAGCAGTGTAAGGGAGGTAATTCAAATGATGTATTTGATTTATCTCCCTTAGACTGCTTTAAATTATGTTTTGTACTAAAGTATTTGTCCATATAAAAATGCTTGTTTTTTGCCCCCTAATTCCTAAAATTTTGAGGTAATTACCCCCAAAATCAATCCCAGCATTCCCTTTGTGATATGGAACCTTGTGGTACAATGTCAGAGAGATCCATACACTAACATACAAGTTATGTCTGGAAGTTACAAAAATGCTTATTTTGGCCCCTAATTCCTTAACTGTTGGTACCATAACCCCCAAAATCAATCCCCACCTTCCTTTTGTGGTATTGAACCTTATGGTAAAATTTCATAGAGATCCATTCACTTAAACTAAAGTTAGAGTGCGAAAACCTATGTGTCTGCGGACGACGACGCCGACGCCAAAGTCATACCAATATACGATCGAAAATTTGTTTGCGGTCGTATAAAAGCCTCTTTATCTTGAACAAATGATTAATTTCTTCTTTTTATGTATAATAAAATAATGAAAATACTTGTAGATTAAAAAAAAAACACACTTTAATGTTTATATATTTATTTATGTTTCTATAATAATTTATTTGAAAGAATATTTAGATTTCTTGAGGCTAAATTTGTTTTCGTGTTGCTTAATATTAGTCTTCTTGTAATTAATCTATTCTTCTTGTCGCTAATTAGTGTCAACTTCAACTTCAACTTCATTACTTGTCAAAATCCATACTGGACATCTAATAACGAGGACTTGTGTGTATGTGAGTAGTGTGATGTGCGCAAACAAGCCAATGAAGATTCTGACAGAGTGTTCCAGACGGTAACTGATCGTGGAAAAAATGAGTGTTGAAAGATGTTGATTCTGCAGTGGTATGGCAAGAATTTCAAACTGCGGCTGTTTCTAGTTCTTATTACAGTAGCTGGTATTGGAAAGTAGAGTACTGGTATAGCTATTAGTTGGTGGACTACCTTGTACATGAGGGAGATATCTGCCATGGTTCTTCTTTGTTCCAGTGTGTTCCAGTTGAGCTTATGAACAATTGATGTTAGTTACACTTATTGGCTTCTCTGGATTGTATGGTTGGTTCCTTATAAATCTGGCAGCATTCCGCTGTACCTGTTCTATTTGTTTAATCTAAGTTTTCTGTTGTGGATTCCAAATAGGTGTTGCATACTCCACTTTCATCCGGACCAGACTTTGGTATGCTCTTTCCTTTACCTTTGGTGGACAATGTCTTAGGTTCCGCTTCAAAAATCCCAATATACTTGAAGCCTTATTGCAGATATTGTCAATGTGCAGATGATACTTTAAGGTGTCACTGAGCTCAACGCCACACATGTGACAGAGTTGTCAAGATACAACTGGAGATTTGAAAATTTTCAGCTGGAGTATGGGCCTCATAACTGGAGATTTTTTATCGACATAATTATCGCCGTTTTCGGTGATCATTTTGATGATAAAGCTACATATTTCCCCTTTTTTTTTAAATTACTATTAATGTATTCTCTCTGTATTGTTACTTTGTGAAATATTTGTCAACATTAAGCTATACTATTCGTATGTGATTTTGTTTCCCTTTCCTCATTAGTGTGTTTCACAAGTCCATCATCCAATATTTATTTATGTGATACAAAGTGTTTTTCCATTTTACTAGCTAATTATTATTAAGCCAGACTTAGCATAAACACTCACACATCCATCTCATAACTAACTGGTGGTGTGTAACGACCTTGACTGGCTGGTAAGCCCTTGCACGGTCGGCTCGGTGCCCGAAGGCGTTTGGTGAGCGTTTAAATATTTTCATGCGTGACGATGGAATGTTGGAAAGGACAATCGCCATTTTGGTTTTGGTAAGATCATTTGGTTTGTTGACTACTTTGTTGTTGTTTACTGCCTTCACAACGGCTGCTTTCATGGCCAGGTTGGTCAACTTGGCAGCCAACTATCCATGATGATGAAGTACTGGTCGATGGGTCTCGAACATAGTAATAACAATGACAGGAAGCTTTATCAGGACCAAAGTCGTAAGACAGTGAAATGGTGGTCCATTATCCAACACCTACGATACAGGCCCTCGGATGTCAGTCGGCATAATATGTCCCCCATAATGGGTGTTACAGACCATATGCTAACGCGGGTATTTACGCGAAACTTCAAGTTTATACAACGTACTGTACAACGTTGGACTGGTTTCTGTTATGGAGAGTAGTGTGTCGTTAATCCATCTATCAGTAAAACAACATCGTAGATAGCGGATAAAGTGGAGCTCACCCAGCACATCCTTTCAGCTGTAATAACTAAAACAAGACTATGTCATCTATCACATACAAGGTCAATAAATATCTTATAAATTTCAATTTAAGCATTGAAAAGAAGTATAAATCTCTCAAATAGTTTTCAAAATGATATTTTCTTATTTGTCCTAAGACATTTAAAAACATTGAATTACCATCCTTATATGATTCTTTGTTCAATTTGTATTTCATTCATATTCTTTTATCAATTTACATTATTTTAAGGAGGGTAACTTAAAACATGATAAAACAAGGGAAGTAACCCGAAATTTCTATTAAATTTGTTCAAATACACAAAGCTTTTATTACATAACAGCAATTAGCTTGGGGTAAAAATGTTGATTAATAGTATGTTTGACACCCAAGCTGTCAAATGAAGCCATATAATTATACAAGTTCTTTGATTTACAGGTAAAAATTACCTTCGTCAGTGACACAAAAACATAATTAATGTTGACATCAATGGTAATAAAAAATAGAGACTGACAATTTTTTTGGGGTTGAAATTTTGAAAAAAAACCCAAAGATTCGAATTATTAACGGGAGGGATGGAAGAGGGCTTAAAAATAGGGAGATTTTGACTACCGCAGGAAGATTCACATGTCTGCAACGCCTAGGTCTCATGGGTTTTTGTGCTATTAAGAATGCATTGTGACGTCACAATTTCCATTAAAAAAGTATGCATAGTACAAATTCATATGAAATACGAAAACATATGATCTGACCATATACAGTCAGGGATATAACTCTATAGGGTTATTAGAGAAAATATCATACATGTGTTATTACAGATACTTTCATGAGTTGTCTACTCTTTATTCCTCAAATTTTCTAAATCTGTAGTAACATATGTTTGTTATTTGTTAAATAAATCATAAATATCATAATTTTTAGTGGGCACTTGGGAATTCTTGAAACTTTGCCCAGAAACTAAATACATAGCCTTGATTACTAGTTTTCGAATTACATTAATACATTTTTCATCAACCATGGTAAATCAATGAGACAAGGCTTTTAAGGGATAAGGGATAAACTTAGCTGTAATAACAAGGCTTAGTTATTAAAGGCATGTAACTTATTATATGAGACACTTGGGAATTACTGGGAAGCTTGTGCAGAACCTCATTACATGCCTTGATCATTATTTCTTACAATAAATTAAAATACTTTGTGATTAAGCATGATTTATGTCTGAGCAAAGGCTTTGAAATGATGTAGAGAAGCTGTAAAAACATAGGTGTATTATGCATGATTCGCAAACTATGAACTGTTATATCTTTCTATAGTTCGACCTGCTAGTCAAATGCGTTTTGTTAAAATATACTTTTTCACTTTTTTGGTCTTTTGGAAAATGTTGTGTGTGCTGTATTTAGACCCCACTAACAAGAAATTTGTTTTGCATGCACACGTATAAAAATTGCGGTTTTTATCCAACGCAATCATAGGTTTGAACGTTGTTTTCAATTTAGACTTGTTTCTATAGTTTAGTATATGACAATAATAATATCAATAGAACTTGTATACATTTTAACAAAACAAATGATGTATATTGGCCCTTTGAAACATGTAACATACATATTTTATCACAGTTCTTTGATTTTTTAGTCCACAATAACAAAAGTATTTTTCTCTAATAACCCTATAGAGTTATAGCCTTGACTGATATATATTTCATGGGGGACATAATTTTATGGTACATCGAGAGCTTAAAATCTGCTTTCGCAAACGGTCAATATATCAACGGCGCCTTCAACCCTTTGTATTAACTAGTATTTGTTACTACGACTATACATGAGACAATGTCTGAAAAAGTCTAATTTTTGGCAATAGGAAAAACCAAAAAAAATGTCTTTAGAACCGGTATTTTAATCTAGGAACTGTTGTCTGTAATTTAAACAATTGTTAAATGTGGTAACAATGGCAATTTTAAAAATGATACAAAAAATTCCAGTTCTTTCCTGTTACCAAAGTGAATCAATTTTAAAAAGTTTCTAATGGGAATAAGGAATAATTTTAAGATACTATTTGTGGTTTACTAGTACAAAAAAAATGTATATCCTGCAATAGTTTATCAAATGCCAATTATTTATTTTAGCATTTGCAATACGAAAGGTTAGGAAATATACAAAATATAGTCCGATATGTCGGTAACATGAAAGAATCTTGAGTAACAGGACAAGTAACAGAACAGAGTTGGTAGCAGGAAGGAATTTTTTTTTCAAAACAATTGCTTTATTTCATAGTTTAAGAAAAATACATCATTTCAGATTGCTTACAACAGCAAACAATGTCATTTATCTTTTGAAACTGTATTTGCAAGATGAAAAATCTGCCTAGGTAATGAAAAATTTTAAAATAAATTCCTTTCAGTTACCATCTACTATATTAGAATTGCACAATGTTCTCTGCTGTTATCAAAAGTAAAAAACCTGTCTTTTCATTCAATATACTGTATATTATGTTGAGATTTATTTAATATGATGATTATAACTTATATTAAATGAAATGTTTGACATATAGTAGATTAACTTTGTGATTCATCAGTGAAATTGTCTTTCCTTCCTGTTACTGATTATGGTTATGCTGTTACTTTTTATCAGGTAACATGACAGAATGTAACAGAAAGGAATTACACAGTACTTTTTGTCCTTTTATTCGAATTGTGTAGAAGTTTACTTCCATCTACATATCAATTTAATAAGATACTATAAAAACACATTTACTGTTACAGTGCTGACAATGAAATATTCTCAGAAGGTACACAAAAAGGCTGTAACAGGAGAGAACAACAAAATTATTTTTCTCTAAATTCTGATCTTTGGGGAGTTCGGATTTTTCAAACTGGCTGCCATTCACCTATACATATAGAGTCATACATTCAGGAAATGATGCTCTTCTCATTGCATTACAAGAAATAAAATCTTGGTCTTTCAAATGTTTCCACAGGTGAAAAAACCCAGTGGCAACAGGAGGGAACTTGGGACAAAATTTAAAAGACCTGTAAAAATGCAAAATTTTATCACATGTTTTAGTTATAACAAAAATCAGACCATTAAGGGACAAGTTTTCTATATAATCTATCATATTTGTGAAAATCGGAGGCCTGTTTACTTAATTTAGATATATTCTTTGCATGATTTAGTTGTCAGAAAACAACACCGGACAACATGATTTTTGGGGGGTTGAACATTTAAATTATAATATTTTATTAGAAGAAATATAAGAAAGAGTGTTAAACTGGCAATAGTTGGTGCATAATATACTCTAGTTAAACATGTTATTGTTAATACTGAAACTCAAAATTTTCCAAAAAGATGCATGAATAAAAATATAATTGCTGGTGAAAGATGGAACATGGAAGTTAGACTTTTTCGGGTATTGTCTCACATACAGATACAGAGAATTTTACATGTGCACTTTCAATTTCACATAATAATTCATTAATTGTCATAATTCATGTATTTGTTGTGTTTTCAAAAACTTGCATCAAAATTACAAACTTTCCCCACTATGTTACCTTACCACTTATTCTTTTCTTGTAATTTCTTTTTATGACAAGCAAGCTAATTTCTAAAATCTTCAAAAAAAAGTATTTCTAGAAAGATGATATTGATAATAAAAACGTAGATTATGTCGCGTTAGTTTCGTATAAATCGTACGACAAATACGTATCTATTGTACTAATACATACAAAAATTCATGTATTTTATGTTTTGTTAAATTACAGTTAATGGAAAATCTATGAATTTCATGAAAAAATTGAGAGCATTTTATAAATTGAACTATGTATACGAAAATAACCGCCATGACCATGATTTCTGATTTCCGGCGAATTCAAAAGTTTTCAAAGCTGAGAGCTGAGGCTTCTTAGCTTGTTGTAAGAAAGATTTATAAATAAGGCAAAAGAATTAATCTGTTTCCCTGTTTTCTGATGAAATGAAAAACTCATGTCTGCTTTATAACCATTCTAACACCAGCCCACTCTGACATAGAGGCACTTGCTACATGAGATGCTGATGGTTTTTGTTAATCCTAGCTCTTCTTCTTCTTCTTCCAAATACTGCCCACATTCAACATGATGAATATTCTGGCATGTTGCGCATGATTAAAAACAGGTTTAAAACAGGATAAAAACAAATTGTTCTGTTGATTTAGTTTGTGGTTTTGGTGACTTGAGACTTGAATATCTCAAGAGACTTTGCTGTGGCGGTATCTGGTGGCAGTTTGTTCCAATCCTTGACGGTGTTTATGAAGAAGGACCATTTCCTACAGTCTTTGGTGGCTGGCTGTAATAGGTAAGTATGTTTTCCTGTCCGGTTTGAGCTTCTTGTTGGTTTTTGTAGATATTTATTCTTGTCTATGGCTACAAGGTCGTTTGTTATTTTGTAACACATGATGAGTCGTGCTTCTTTTCGTCTTGTTTGTAAGCTTTTCCATCCTAATTCATTTATCATGTTGCTGACACTTGATCTATTTCTATGTCTGCTGGTTACATATCGTGCAGCTCTTCTTTGTACCTTTTCAATTTTATCTATGTGGTTTTGCTGGTTCGGGTCCCATACTGTCGTGGCGTATTCCATTTGCGGTCTTACTAATATTTTATAGGCATGCTCTTTGATGGATTTTGAGCTAATGTGGAGGTTTCGATGTAGGAAACCAAGGCTTCGGCTGGCTTTTCCTGTAATGTTGTTTATATGTTCTCCCCAATCTAGATCATTTGCGATGGTGCAGCCTAGGTAGTTAGTTGATGTTTCATGCACCAGAGCAGGGCTTCCAAAACGGTCATATATTCCGGACAAGTCCGATAAATTATATAAATGACTTGTTGTGCCAAGACTGAAACGGTCATTTTAAAATATAGTTTAGAAAAAAAACGGACATTTTAAAATGAAAGAAAATAATCGAAGTTTATTCGATCTTTTTGAGCTGACCTTTTGCCTTAAACAGCTACACATTTCCGGTCATATAAGTGACATGATTATAATTACTATCAAAACAAACCGTACTATAATACCCTCTCATTACAATCAGGATTAATTAGTTCTCTGACAACTGATTTTACCTGTTCAGGCAACAGGTGAACTATTTTGTACCGGACATTTAACAGTCTATTATTAAAAGTTATTTTCTTAAAATTCAGCGGTTTGTATCGAATTAATTTTGTCAACAAGATTCAGATTATCAGAAAACATATATAAATATGAACTGATGAAAATTTAAAAAGGTAGCAATAAAGGTTTTAAGAGAAGAATCGTCAGGATCACCGTTGTTTGACTTAGTACACTCGTGCGCATGTGCGCAGGTGTGAGATTAAATTATGCATCCGAATTTTCAAAAATGCTAAAAATATCATTGATACCTATATCTAACGTACTTGTCGAGTCTTTTCCTGTAGAAAAAAACGTGGAAAGATCTACTTTAAAAACTCAATCGTGCTTTGAAACGTACACAGATTTAACGTATCCGTCTCTGGTCCGTGTTTTACCATTGTCAACATCCGGTAAAAGTGCTTTCTAAAAACGAAAGTGAAGTTATTGACAGCGTTATTTTGCACAAATAAAGAGTCTTAGACAGATATTAATACTCTGATGTTGCACACTGCGAATAGTGCACTGCCAATTTATCAGTTAGCGCCAGAACATCGAATTTATATTAAAAATTAAGTCAAATACCGTTTTTGTGTCAATCATAATAATGATAATTCATATGATGTCCAACTGATTACTATGGTTGCCTTTTGTTACTAAGTCTTATGGGATAAAAATCGGGATAAGATAAAAATGTCCGGCTGGCTCAAATATTTTTTGGAAGCCCTGCACCAGAGTATGGCTGTGGAGTTTATAGTCCCACTTGGTTGGCTTTTTATACGACCGCAAAAAAATTTTTGTGGTCATATATTGGTATGACGTTGGCGTCGTCGTCGTCCGGCGTCGTCGTCGTCTCCGGCGTCGTCCGGCGTCGTCCGAAGACACATTGGTTTTCGCACTCTAACTTTAGTTTAAGTGAATGGATCTTTATGAAATTTTACCACAAGGTTCAATACCACAAAAGGAAGGTTGGGATTGATTTTGGGGGTTATGGTAATAACAGTAAAGGAATTAGGGGCCAAAAAGGGGCCAAAAATAAGCATTTTTGTAACTTCCAGACATAACTTGTGTGTTAGTGTATGGATCTCTCTGACATTGTACCACAAGGTTCCATATCACACAGGGAATGCTGGGATTGATTTTGGGGGTAATTGCCTCCAAATTTTAGGAATTAGGGGCCAAAAAAGGGGCAAAAAACAAGCATTTTTCTAGTTTCATGACAATAACTTGTGTGTAAGTGTATGGATCTTTCTGAAATTGTACTACAGTAGACTCCGGCAAATCGGATACCCAAAATGTCAGCTAAAAATATCCGATTATCCGATATATTCAATTAGACGATGAATGTATATTCATTGAATATTCTGCAATAATGAGTAGATCTAATCCTGAGATGTTACTAACCCTGACAATTGCTAAATATGTGAAAGGGCTGGAGGATTGATGGAGTGATTTTTATCAGTTACATCACCACGATGTTTTTTAAAAAGATTTCAGCTGATTACATAATGATGAAATTTGTTTGCAGTTTTTAAATCCTATATTTATTAAAATAAATTAAATGTCCTGAAAAATGTTAATTATTATCTATCCTCCATAGTTTGTGTCTTTATTTGTTTTGAAAACAAATTAATATCCATTATTTACATTATCACACAGGTAAACTAATTTGGCTATAAATAGATCAAAGCATGTTTGTGTAGAATCTCCAAACTAAAATCGTATTTGTTATAATTTGATTTCTTTAAATAATCAAATTTAAATTGATGAAAATAATCATGATTGATAAAATATAATTGTATAAAGTTTACATTTTCTGAAGACTATTTATGTTTAGGTCATGGTTCTAGAGGCTTCCTCACAAATTTGTAAACAAACCAAAATGGCGGCCATGACATGTGGTTACTTTTGCACATGTGAAAAAAATATTTCTGACAAAAGTCAGATTTCTCTTGTCAAAAGGGATTTATATTTATATTGCAATAAATTATTCAGAAGGAGGTACATTCAGTTTACATTATATTTCTGGTTGTGTGAGCATTTAGAGTTTTATCAAAATTCCCCAAACAGCATCGTACTGCTCTTGTCAACTGACGAGTTTTGTAAATTCAAACCATTTGAAGTAAAAGGGCATCTAATTCACATGATAAAGGAAGACACTGAATAAAGACAACAATTTATTAAGAAATAGTTCCTTTTTATTTAGTAAAAACGAAATCTTCTTGTCTGCAGGATTGTTAATTCGTAACTTCCGGGTTCATTTCCTGTCAGAATAACATTGAAAATATCCGATTGTGCATGGTTTTGAACAAAATTACCTGAATATTCTTATCCGATTTGCCGATATATTCTTATATCCGATATTCGATTACCCGATGAAATTAACATTAAACATATAGGGAAGGGTTTGGTGTTTTGAAATAATATTACAATAGCCGATATATTCGTTTAGCCGATATCCGATTAGGTGGAGTCTACTGTACAAGGTTCCATATCACAAAGGGAAAGCTGGGTTTGAGTTTGGGGGTAATTGCCCTAAACGTTTAGGAATTTGGGGCCAAAAAGGGGCCAAAAAACACATTTTTTTCTAGTTTCCAGACAATAACTTGTGTTCAAGTGTATGGATCTCTCAGAAATTGTACTGCAAGGTACCATACCACAAAGGGAAGGCTGGGATTGAGTTTTGGGGTGATGAATCATAATGGGGGTTCAAAAAATTTTGGGGGGGGATTTATTTTTTTTTCCTTTTTTTTCTTTTTTTCCTTTTTTGTTTCTTTTAAAATTTTCCATTTTAAGTTGGTTATTTCTGATTTATATTTAAAATCAAATAATAATGATATGGTAGGAGATACACACCAAACAGGATGTGTAAATTATTATATAATAAGTATTGTGCAATAGCAAGAAATTTTCAATTGCACAGTATTGCACAATAGCAAGAAATCTTCAATTGCACAGTATTGCGCAATAGCAAGAAATCTTCAATTGCACAGTATTGCGCAATAGCAAGAAATATCCAATAGCACAATATTGCGCAATAGCAAGAAATTGTCAATTGTACAGTATTGCGCAATAGCAAGAAATATTTAATAGCACAGGATTGTGCAAAAGAAGATACTTCCTATAAATTGCTTATTTCTTGACCAATTTCAATGGGGTTTTATTCTTGATTTCATGGGGTTCTTTAATATGCTGAATCTAACCGTGTATTTAGTTTTTGGATTTTGGGCCCCGTTTTTAAATTGGTCCACATTGAGGTCCAAAGGGTCCAAAATTAAACTTTGTTTGATTTCATCAAAAATTGAATTATTGGGGTTCTTTGATATGCTGAATCTAACTGTGTATTTAGATTCTTAAATTTTGGTTCCGTTTTCAAATTGGTCTACATTAAGGTCCAAAGGGTCCAAAATTAAACTTAGTTTGATTTTAACAAAAATTGAATTCTTAGGGTTCTTTGATATGCTGAATCTAAACATGTATTTAGATTTTTGATTATGGGCCCAGTTTTCAAGTTGGTCCAAATCGGGGTCCAAAATTAAACTTTGTTTGATTTAACAAAAATTGAATATATGGGGTTCTTTGATATGCTGAATCTAACCATGTATTTAGATTTTTGATTTTTGGGCCCCGTTATCAACTTTGTCCACATTGAGGTCAAAATGGTCCAAAATTAAACTTTGTTTGATTTCATCAAAAATTGAATTATTGGGGTTCTTTGATATGCCGAATCTAACCGTGTATTTAGATTCTTAATTTTTGGTTCCGTTTTCAAATTGGTCTACATTAAGGT